AGTTTAGGTGGTTTGTCTCGGAGGGCTTAGATGTCTACAAGATCGCTTGCATCACACTTGGAAGATTTTCAAAAAAGTCCTCCTCAGACTGCGGTCCGACAGCCGTGGTCAGAAATTTCAGTGCACTGGCTTCCGACTGTAGCTCGGCTCATGACTGACGTTTCCGTGAAATTACATCTGACTCCATCCAGAGTCTAAAGTTCACATCTCGCACAGTCAGTCAGTTCTCGTCCAGCGGGGGAGTGAAAGTGTTTGATCACAGGCTGACTATTGCCGTTTGTTCCTTGTACCATGTCAATGCTTTGGTTTTCTTCTGTCAAAGAGAAAAACAGGCTAATTTGACAAAGGGAACATTTCCATAATCATCAGTGAAAATCCATTTACCTAATCAGGTCTTCTTTTCTTTTTTTATAACAATGGGAAACCACACCGCCTTTCTATTTCTCAACCGTACTGACTTTCCTAAAATTGATGATGACAGTTGTGAAACGCTTTTCAACCGCGTCCGTGCTGTTATGAGACCTACTTGGTTGCGGATGTTTGCTGTCTTGTGCCTGTCTTGTGTCGGACTTCATCCTCGCAGCACCATAAAGACCTCACTGTGCAGAGTCAGTCATCTGAGGACACTTCTCTTCGACCTGTAAGCCAGAAGCCCTGCAGCTGTTATGCCATGACAATATTAACTTTTAACACGCCGCTCATCCTCTCCATAAAGTGGAGTTGTGCTGCAGTGGGAAGGTTGTTGTGCTAATGCAGAGGCCCCAGCAGGATGGAGCATACAATGAGATAGTCTCCTCCTTTTAATGACTGTTTTAAATGTTAGATGTTTACCATGCATGGAAGCAGAATTCATCATGGTACAGCATTTGTATTTTCCGTGTACCGTGAAGTTAATGAGTATTAAAGCTCTCATAGGGTTTGCCAGCATTGCATCACATCGCAGTATGTCTGCCAAGAGTTGACCTCTTGCAGTGTTATCAACAAAGACATGTCAGGTATGCTTTTTTTATTTAAGCCTTTCAACATAAGTTTTATCAAGTAGATATTGAGGTATTTCCCAGCCTACTCAAAGACTCCATATTTCACCATCCTGTTTAATCCACTTGTTTTTGTCAACACCATTTAACGGACTAATCTGGCTTCTTCAGAACAATCGAGTTAAACTGTGGACTCTGCCAGGAATCATAATCTGTTTTTACTGGATAAACACCGCAAGGGAAAGTGGCCGGCAGCTTGTTGAAAATGGTCAGTGTGTTGATAAATAAGGTAGGCCGTCTTCGCCTTATAAGGTTTTATAGATGCAATAGTTTATTCCTACATCACTGGGATGTATATGAACAACCGTTCTACACTCTGGCTACTTCTTCACCTGCACCAGTGGACACTTCTGTACCAAAACATTTAACAGCATTAACGCATAACATACTGTGTGCAGCTATTGCGTAAGGAAAGGCAGATTGACTGCTGTGGGACGAATAAAGATAAGGGGGAAAGTGTGTGTGTGTGTCCACGCGTGTCCAGGCACTGGTGTAAAACTCAAAATACGATAGTGCTCAAGATGATCCTAAATTAGATAGTTAATCATCATAAATATAAAGGAAATTTGTCATGATTGATGTGAAATGTGTCATTATCGCTGTGTCCGTTGTTAATCTGAAATAATTGCCTCGTGCTGCTTCACTGCTGGCCCAAACCCCTTTCACACTTTGTCTCCAGATATTGTTTGGCTCTTTCTAAAACATAATTGTGTCAACGGTCACTGTCGATGAGACGACAGACCTTTTCGTAAGTGCTTTCCCACAAGGAAAATTTGGCAGGCGGGATGGGAGCAAACATGCAGACAAACTTGCCGACAGTAATTTTACACAGGCCTGCGTTATACATGAGCTTGGTGGATTAATGCCTCACTTCAGTAAAAGGCCACTCGGACAGCACTGCTGAGGCCTGTTGTGCTCTATCAGAGCTCAGCTTATCGCATCAGTAATGGCCACTTGTGACTCTTGATCCGTCTGTTTCCACACCTTTTTTTTTATGTCTTTTGTCACAAATTACCCTTTTTCCAGGGGAAGGCAGTAAAGCCCCACGGAAACACCGTAGTAATCAGATAAAATGGTCCAAAACCTAGGCTCCCATCTATTGTTGCTGATTGCTAGATAATGATTAAGCTGCAGGGATCGACATTTAGCATAAGTAGTTTGGAAAACATGTGGTCAGCATGTGTGTTTGCATATGTTTGACACGCATAGATGCGCTGATATCCGGTTTTCTTTTTGCCTATCGTGGAACAAGCCTCTCAGACTCTGTGCAGACTTGGTCTTCGTATGTGTAAGTATTCTAACCAACTTTCCCCACCAGATAGTGATTTCCTGCGTTACTCAGCGTCCCGCATCAGATTATGATGAGGCTGCCACACTTCCCATATTGCCAGTTTTGAACAAAACATTCATAAATTATTAATTAAAAACGGCGTGATTTGGGCCTAAACAATCTGTTGTTGATGCTGCTGCTGTTGGACGTATTTGGGTCGGTACCCTCTCCAGTGGATTGCGTCATGCGATTGATCACATGGTCACCAAAACCTGATAATAATCTTTTTTGTATTTCGCTCCTCTCAGCAGGGAAACGGACATTACCTTTAGTATGAGATAAATACATGAAAAACTGATCCATCACCAATATCATCCGTAAACTGAGCTAAACCATTTTTGACCGGATTAATTTACTATATATTACATTTAAAAATAATATACTTCAGGTGTATTTCTCCACCTCTTTGATCAGTGTCCCTCCTCCAAGGCTCTCATGTGGACTAACACAATGGAGCCACTGCCTGCTTTTTATTCCCCTCTTCAGAGAAGAGACCGTCTGCTCAGCTGATGCCTTCGGGTGTCAGCGTTTATCCTTTCATATCCTGCTTTTTCGTTCTAGCCTTGTTCTCTAATAATTTTACTCGCGCTCGTCTCGTGGTGTGCAAGTGGTTCCACCTCTGAGCTTAACGTCACTGTCTTGGTTATTGCCGCTCTATTGCCTACTGTTACTATTGTGTGCAGGTGCTTTTAGTCTGAGCCTGGCTGGAATGGGCCTGTTTACTGTGAATAAATGGCAGCAGAGGAGGTGCGCCTCGTCGACCGTGTCTCTTTTTAGAATGAAGGAACGTAGTACACGCTGCAGTACGTTTGCTCTTCATTATCCTTTCCTGCGACACAACGTATCGCAATCTCTAGATCAGAGGTCTTCAACAAGGGGTCCGCGAAGGTACTGCAGGGGGGTTGCGAAATTTTTTTAAACAATTTTTTTCCCCACAAATGTAAATGTCTTCAGAATCAGAATTTTATTTATATTCTTTAAATACAAATTAACATGAATCCAACATATAGAAGCGAATGGATAAATTGATGGAGAAGACGTTATCTGTTAGTCCGCAACACACGCATTCAGCTTCCCTCAGCAGCTCTCAAGCTGGGCACCGGTTCACTCACTGCTCCTTTCATGCGAATACAACAGCGCAGGCACCCGCCAATCAGATCGCGTTTATGCTCACGTCTAAAGAGAGTGAAGCTCAAAAATAAAAGATGGCGGACCAAACTCCGTAGAATAGGGGGTCCCTGCTCCACCTCGCCATCAGTTTAGGGGACCTTGGCTTGAAAAACGTTGAAGACCTCTGCTCTAGAGTTCTAATATGCAGAACTAATGCATATTATGTGTATTCTTTTCATATCTTTTGCCCCCCAATAATATTTAACTCATCTGTATGCTGTATGTTTTGACTCTCTAGATTAATTTCTACGCTTTCTCTAGTGATTAAAGCATCAATGAATGATTCAGAGCCCGAAGGAGGAAAAATGTTTCTCTTGTGTCTTTAGTGGATGTGTTGGTATAGTAACAATGTTCTGAAACAATTGAAAGACGAATAATCGGCCGTTCCCTCCCGAAGCCTGCCTGTGATACTGTATAGTAACAAGTTATATATTTGATATATTTTTATATATTTTTGGAGAGAAATATTCTTGACCTGAACAGCGTAGAATATGATTAGTTTGCAAAATGTTCTGTGTGGGTGCGGCTGTGCAGCCGTCGGCCGTTTTCCACGGATAATGGATCCTGACTGAAAAATGGTTCGACCTTTACATTGGCTCATGTTTTCCTCCATAGATCGGGCTTGCGACAAATATTTTTTCCCACTGTTTATTGACAATTTGTTCTTTGTCTAATGAATAATCAATCTAAAAACACCCCAAAGGATTGTTAAATCAATTAACCCTCTAATCGTCATCTGTAGGAACCGGTGGTAGTAGGTCAAAGTCTGTGGTAATAACTGGACGGAGCAGAGAGGGTTATGGCTCATGTATCAGGTCTCCGACAAGGGTATGTGTAAATCAGTGTGGCGATCCCAGGTTATTGGGAATGGAAATGGGATTATCTTTTTGTTAGAGCGCTTTTCATGTTCTAATGCAGCCCATTAGCTTCACCACACCACAAAAAGAGAAAAATGATTTGCAGCCGTAATAAGAATTTTTATTATTGAGAGATATTGAGATAGATCGATAGAGATATATATATATCTCTATCTCTTTTTTTTTTTTTTTTTTAACTACATACAACCAAAGTGAAAGTTTCTCTTCAAGAGAAAAGGGAAAATCTAAATATTCAGGTTTAACACAAGGCTTTCTGTAAGTCATTTTAATTTGATTTGATGCTGCTTTTGGTCTGTCGATGGACGGACACCGCTGTTATACTTTCATAAATAATGGATTGAATCCATGGATCTATATTTATACAGTGCATGCATATTTCTGGGTCTCCATTACTGCATTATGAGCTTGGAGATTTTTAAACTATTTTGAACAGGCCGCTGTTCTGTACTCAGACATTCTGTACTTTTGACCCACTGGTTTAGTAGCAATTTAGCACGCTCAAGTCATTTCATACTTCACAGAAGCATTATCAGAGGAAGAGAAATTTCTCACGTAATGACTGATCTTATCTTCTGGTCTTTTCAGGTATTTGGTGACTATTATCACTTCCGGCATCGTAGGGTGGTGAAGAGATCACTGTCAGATCACAGAGGGACACAAGTCCGTCTTCAAAGAGATCCCCAGGTAAGGAGTTTATTTCTGTGTGGGTGGGTGGATGTTCATTCATGGACGTGGGTGAGGTTTATTGATAACTGGACGTAAAGGTCACCGTGAATTAAAAAGAGACAGACCTACAAAAACTTGATGTATATTTTCCAATGTAGTATTTAAAATGATGAGGCTTTGGAAAAGGTTTTCTGCATAAAGGCCCTTTTTACTTTATTTGATCTATAAGCCCTAAATGTGCTAATGTGAGTAGACATGCAAACCATAAACCAATTACTAAACATGTTATTCTTAACTCACTCATTTTGTTTTTTTTAGCCTGTTGCAAATGGTCCGCCTCCCTTTTTGGGGATTTCCTTGAACAGGCTTCATTTCCTGTTGTTGAATTCCTTGTTTCACCACAGCACCTCAGAAAGTGGAGTGTTACAGCTCCTGTATGCAAGAGGGTCAGGTCTGTTTAACCCACTGGACATGAAGAGAGCGTTGCAAATGCTACAATAGTTAGCAACCGAAGACTCCCTCGGATCCAAACGTTTCTGTGACTGAGGTGCAATTAATAATGCCTGTACATGAGGCAAACTTTTCACATTTGCATCAGCCGCACAGTTAAAAAGAAATAAAACATGAATAAAATTATATTTGGGAGGAGTTTTTTATTCTAGATAGAATGTCTCTGCAGCTTTCAAACTTGTTGACATGAAGGCCGGACAAAAGGCTCAATAGAGTCTCTTTGAAGAGTCTCATTACTGACAAAAACACCTGGTCCTCTGCCAGATCTCATTGACTGGCTAACAGAGCCCTGTTATTAAGCCCCATTGAAGGTTTAACGCTCGGGTCCATCATCTACCTCCCTGCCATCCACTGTTTTCTGTTTTATTCTTTTGTTGTTGTTGTGGGAAGTTTTCTTTGATTCACGGTTTGTGTTTGGTTAGTTGAAGAGAAGGAATTAGAATGACAAAATAACGCAAAAGGGTGCTCAGAAATGTTGAATGTTTCATTTATCTTTAGTTTGACTGCTTGTATGGCTGGTTTCAATACTATAGCAAGAGAAGTACGAGTTGTGACATAAAGCAGCCTTTTGTATAGATATGAATAGCATAACCAACCACTGATCTGCACGATAGTTGAAATCGTGTCTCTTCATTGTAATTATGTTCTGCTAGCAACTTCCATTTGGCCTCAGAGGGAGGATGCTATTGTTTGTATAATAAAAAGAAGTGGATGGGACACAATGAGCCGAGTGCGGAATCAAGTTGTTGGACAGATAATCATTCTCCACCTGAACATGAAGCCAACAGCTGTCTGTCCGGGAACGTTTTCTTTGGTCCGGTCTGGACTCGTGAGATAGAAACCATTTCCAAAACCCATTTATAACGTCATTGTCTGGGCTTCATTCTCTGCATAGACCATTAATGACTTTTCGAAACACCTTTTACATGAAAACTGCAAAATAGTGTTGCAATGATGTGTTTGTTGTTGGAGGAAATCTCTTGAGTATGAAAAAGGAGGTTAAAGATGAAAAATATGAGTTTTATTGTTTACTATGGAGGGAGGGCAGTATCTCGGGTTGTTGATTCAAACTGTTATTATATTGCGTTTCCGTATTAAAAGGATTATTTGGTAACGTAAATGTTCTGTCAGGGAAATGTAATCCGCTAACTAAAAAAAACCTTAGTAGTTGCTGCATTGTAATTGTGTTGTTTTCCCACAAATGGAACTGGATTTACTCTAATGAAGGTAAATACTGTGCCAGTATGCAGCGATCAGGAGGTTTTTTGTTTTTGTTTCCCAGTTTACTGATTCAATACCCTCACTGTTTGTGAACACACCCAAGCCACTAATCTGTACCATCATTTCCTCATGCCTCTGTCCAATGCAAAGCGGAGTCTAGCTGAGTTCTAAGTGTGTGTCACTCGCTGCAAACATTAGTGGCAGATAACCGTCAATGAAGTGTCTGCAGTGGAAATGAACAGACTCTGTAGTTACTGAAGCTAATCCCGTTCACTGGACACGATGGGCTACTGTGTGATTGAGCAGTCATGAAGGTATTTGCTTGTTTTCAGAGTGTTTAAACTTTAATGGACAAGCAAAAAGATTTCCCTTTTGAGGGAGAAATGCATCTTGAATGTCGATGAATCCTCTAAAATGTAAATAAAGCCATGCTGAAAATGGGGCGGCACGGTGGTGAGGTGGTTAGCACTGTCTCCTCACAGCAGGAAGGTCCTGGGTTGGACTCCGCCCAGCGGCCTTTCTGTGTGCAGTCCGCATGTTCTCCCCGGGCCTGCTTGGGTTCTCTCCCGGTACTCCGGCTTCCTCCCGCAGTCCAAAGACGTGCTGCGGGGATTCGGTTAATTGGTATCGCTAAATTGCCCGTAGGTGTGTGGCTGTGAGTGTGAAGGGTTGTTTGTCTCTGTGTCAGCCCTGCGATTGGCTGGGTGTCCCCAGTCTCTAACAAAAAAGTCAGATGGACTTGCGACCTGTATGACGGAGAAGCGGTGTGTCTATCACCACATGTAATTGTTTGTTTTTTTAGGATTGAGACATAATAAGACCACGAACCGACAATTCAAGTGTTTAGCAGGAACATTTAAGCATATGCTGTGGTGTAATCCCAGTTAACAACCTTTGTGAGTCGTCGTGCCTGTCTGCTTGACAGAGAGCCATTTCCCAACGTAGTTTCATACCTGGCTCAAGTGTCAATGGAAGCAAGCAAAGTGAAAGACTTTCATACGATGGTTTTGTTTGTATGCAAAACAAATACAAAGGGGATGTAAATCTATACCATGCTTTGCAATGATAATGAGATGGTTCAATCGGTGGATTTTAGGCAATGCAAGCAACACGGCACAGTAGACTGTCCTTTGCCATGTGCATGAAACCAAACTTCCTGAGTGGCACTAGTTACTAACAAATATTGCACAAATATTGTATCTTTTATTTTGTCGTGTTGAAACAGAAGTCCAACCGATGTGAGAAAAACAAAGAGCAATGTCATACAGGATTTAATGTTTACGAGTCAAAAGCAGATAAGAAAATGGAAAAAGAGAACTCGCACACACCTTATGAGGCAAGAGAAAATAGCTTGTTTCCATCTGACTGGCTGTCACAGACTAGTGTAACAATTGTGACTTCCCTGGATACAGTCTTTGTCACTCAGACTGTTGACCATTCAATCAATATTCTCGTTTGTTTTAAAAGAGAATGCCAATATTGAAGCCTGACTGGGAGAAGCACATCAACTAATTAAATGTTGTAAAACAGTTCTGTGAAACTCAAGTGAACTGGATCCCTCCTTTTTTAAAGGTTTTACGCTGCACAGTTAATAAACAGAAAAGTCAATTTTGTCATTATGACAAATTGCAAATGTTTATAGTGGCCACAACGTTTTCATAACATGCCAGTTTGACTGGAAATGATGTCCAGAATAAAATGCCGCAGTAGGCACATAATGTTTTCAAATGTGGTGGATAACTTTTTATTTTCCAAAAACGGGAGTCCCCAGGCTGTCGACACAAATCCAAAGAAAAAGCGAATAATGATATAAGCCTATTTCTTGAACATTCATATTCTTTATTCAGAACATAATGCAGTCAGAATCCCCAATGGCGACAAAGTGTTTAGCTATTCAGTTTCCACATTTAGCGACATGTCATTGTCAGCAGTAGTTCTTTGACTTAATGTGCACGGTTCATCCCACTGTGCACCACCCTGTGCTGACCTCCTCTTCCCAGTGTGAACACTGACGAACACGAACCTTTCTGCTCATCGACATTATTCAGTCTATTATTATTTGCATCGCTTCAGTGTAGCAGCTAATGTGACCTTCATTACGTCTTTTCTCTTTTGTTCTTGTGTGAGAGAGAGAGAGAGAGAGAGATGTGGTTGTCCTTTGCATCAGGTTCTCCGTCCTTGCGGCAGGCAGTTCTCAGTCTTCGTTCTCCTGAGATACTTTTCTCGTGCGCCCAGGCGATTTTTTTTCCTACCGGGGGAGAGTGAGACACACGCAGGCTTACTCGTATGCAATCTGCTTCCGTCAACACTTTCTGAAGGAGCTTGCGCACCATGAAAGCCTGCTGCAGTTCACTGTGTTGTTTGGCTTGTACGGAGTTTGTACCTCTGCGTATATATTGTGAGTGTGCATACATCTTTAGGTGTACCTGTGAATAAGCATAATAGATTCTGGTGCATCCCATTTGACACTAATCCAGAAGTTTTAATTAGTTCCAGGCTGCTCTGGACCTTTATCACAGAGTCTCATTAGTGAGGAGTCCATGGTACCCCTGGGCCTCTAATCTGTCTGCTGTTTTCCCGCTGAGAATTTTGAGCTCTATTAATTCATTTGACACGGCGAACCCTGTGTCAAGCACATAATTATTTCTTGTTCCTTTATAAATATATATGTATGTGAGCAGTAACCTTTTGGTTCATATCGCTTATTTGTACACGTGTTTCTTTGTGTTCGTACTCTCCTTGTTTAGGTGACTTGGGCCGAGCAACAAGTATCGAAACAAAGGAAAAAGAGGGATGTCTTCGAAGAACCGTTAGATCCAAAATTTCAAGACCAGTGGTACTTGGTGAGTATGGACGATGCGAGTAGAAACTGCACTCAACACTTGTTTTTGTCTGTGGGACATAATTCTTTGCACACAGGTTGAGCTCTTTATCCACCCAAAGTCAATACACCTAATTACATTTGTTGCTGTGATATATCCCCCCCCCCCCCCCCCCAAGTCAAAAGACAAGCTTGTCTGAATCCAATATTACAAAATGCTGTCGTGGGTCTTGTTTGCAGAAAGAAAAGCAAGTCTAAGTGACTTTGCTTGAAGGTTTCAGCCAACAATACAATTCACACACAGAGTACTATTGAGCTCTGAATGGCATACTTTTTTGAATTGGTGGTTTACTTCAGTCCATATAGCAACAGCTTTTCTCTAATACCCTGTTGATAGATATTTCCGTTTGACTTTTTAGAATGTCACTGATACGTTGTTCTGTAGTAGCAGTAACAACCCCTGAGCTTTTCTGTTTGGCTCCTCTCTTCCTTGAATTACTGCGATAATGCTTCAGGCTGAAGAAAATTGATGGTGATGGAAATCAGACTTGCATCACCAGTTGTTCAAAATGTCTGTTCTTTAACAGGCAGACTGACTTCCATAGTGTGCTGGATTGGTTAGTGGCTGTTTGAAAGGCAAATGGGTAGATAAGAGGCTGCTGTCTGGTTGAATTAATTTGACCCGATGTAGTACTCTGCTATACGTTCACATCAGTTAATCGTATTTCACTGATATTACAACCGGCCTTTTCCTAATGTTGTTTAAAGCTGTAGCTCAATATTATTTTCATTTTCACTTAATCTGCCAATCATTTTCTTCTTGATTATTCCTTTTGTTCCAAAAATCTTTAAAAAAATTCCCATCACAATTCATCTTAACTAAAACTGATTGTGGCCAAGCTTTATTCCAAAATGTAAAGATGTTTTATTTTGCTTATCAGAATAGTTGCTGATCGTTTGTCTATTGATCAACTGATCATCACAGCTCTAGAATCCTTATTCACACATAAAGAAATAAAAATGTGTTACTAAAAATATTACGTTATGTAGTTTTTGCTGAGATTTTTCCATTTAATACACTCTGGTCTTCTTTATTAAAGCGATGCTGAACCTGTGTGAGCGGAAGAAAATTAAATCAATTTCTATTTGAGTCTGTAGGCTTCCCTCGAGGTTGTAAAGCTCATTAATGCACCAAATATATGAAAACTGGGGCAGCACCTTTGCTATTTTAAGATTCGTTCCAGTGTTCGGATCAGTTAAGTGTCTTTTAGAAAAATGGAAATGTCCCCACGTAAAAAAAAAAAAAAGAAGCAACATGTGACCATGTTGGTTGTTCGCAAACAAAGGACTGTCATTCCGCCAATGCTCTCTGCTCTGCTGCTGCGAGCGCCACACGGGCATATTTGTGCTGGTGTCGTTGTGGAGCCGTCGTGCATTTTTAATCCTCACTTTTTCAAGGTGCCCCCCCCCTCTCCCCCCTGTTATAATGGTTGGGGAAGCACTGGAAGTAATGGGATCCAGCCAAGATTTCATGTAGAATCAATGTGCTCCAACTCTCTGCCAGCAGCAAATAAGTCTGAACCTCATTAAAAGTGAGCGTGGCTGGTCAGTGTGGGTGGGTCTGTTGGCAGGCTGTCCTTGGCGGACAGATGCTAATGGTCTGCATCTGCTGTTACAATGAATATTTATATATTTTTCTCATATTTATCTCAATGATCAAATGGGAAAAATCCTAGGCGAGCCTCAAAAGCTGTGCCTACTGTGTGCTCAGACTTGTGTGCAGAAGAAACGCTGACATTAAGGAAGAAAAGGATTCGCTTGATTAGCAGTATTGAGAATGAAAACCTGCCCCTAGCTCTCAGATTTATTATACACTCGGCATGTCAGCCACAGAGGGCCTTTTTCCAATTTGAATTAGCATTGCAGATCACAACATTCTGCTTTAACTGATTTTTTTCTTGATGAATTAACACTCAATGACTTTACAAGAATGAAGAATAAACCTCATCCTTTTTGATAGATTGCACTTAAAGGGTGTGAAATCTAAGAGGAGTGTGTCAGATAAATACCAATGTGTCAGAGGTACATCACACACATGATATTTAACTGGCAGTACACTTTAAAACCAAGAGCTTTGAACTTGAAAGACAGACATGGCTTTTGACCAAAGGTCCAGATGGATGTCAGAAGCTTATCAAAAAGCTTCCAGAATGATTACTGTGAGCCGTGAAACAGTGCGTTGCTTGGTATTTTGTTATAAATGCAATAAATGAAAGCATGGCATTGGTGCTTTTAGAATTGAGATACCCCAGTCTTCAGACATGTCTTACATGAGATGGCTTGTGTAGTACCCTCCAGATTTAGTTAACAGTGCACTGTCATCAGCACTCGGGTCTCTCAAATACTTAATTCTTACTTACGTTTTTTGCTTCCTCCATCCTCAGTACAACATCAACCACCGTGACCTGAATGCTAAATCTGCGTGGCAGATGGGCTACACGGGTAAAGGGGTGGTGGTGACCATCCTGGATGATGGAATTGAGAAGAACCATCCTGACTTGATGCAGAACTATGTGAGTATTACTCCTAAGTTAGCCGTAACATTGTTTTCCATCAAGAGATAAGGATTTTGATATAGACTTTTAAACAATTCAATTTACCAAATTGACTGCGTCTCCGCGTCTTTATTTAGGACCCGGATGCGAGTTACGATGTGAACGACGGCGACCCAGACCCTCAGCCCCGATACACGCAGCTCAATGACAACAGGTAGAAATCTACACGCAGAACATTTCAATTTCCACTCTTCTCTCTGTCTGTCGGCCTGCTCTGAAACCACCCAGCTGTGTTTTCTGAATGCTGGCTATAAGGAGGACTTCATCTCCATCTTCATCTCATTTAAACAGCCCTATTGCTGGGGCTCAAGGCCAGCACATACAGGCTTTGTCCAACACATCTAGATGTTTTGCCATTTAGTGGGTATTTTTTGGCAGAAATGGGCACATCACAAATAGGAATCCTACCCCCAACTCAGAGTTTGTGGATTCGCTCTGCCTTCACACAGGCACCAGTGGCCCACCGCCAAAGTCAGTAGACTAAATCTACACATAGATTGAGGTGGTATGTGTACGAAGCGGCTTTATTGCATTGGCCTCTGTGGTTTTCAGCAATTGCTTATGTCGTCTGCAGTGATGTCTTGCAGAGAATTGATTGAATTAAGTTCGTCAGCATTAATGAAACCGAGCAAATCTCTTGGCTCTGGAGGGCCTTTGCCTTCATTCCAACGCCTACGTACCGTCTGACTTTCATTTCTGATTCGCTGTAATCTTATGTTTGTGGGGCAACAGCCTGAGACTTTTTTATCCTGAGGCTCACCATGATTACTAATGATAGGCATGGAAGATTATAGTCTGGCAGGGATGAAAATCAAAGTCCCCAGCTGAGGCAGGGGCCAGGAGCAGGCACCATGAAAATGGAGGCCAGCCGGATAAAGAGCAGCAGAATGGCCTAAACCTACTGTATCTGTGCCAATATGGCATTGACTTTAAAGCTTTTGTGAAACATACAAAAGGGTGAAGGCTGATTGAAGGGAGAGTGTGTCATTATTTTCATACTTGAAAAACTGGGCAGAAACACACACACACACACACACAGCCATCGGTGAAAGTTTTGATTAAAAATGGGAACAGTGTAAACAATTTGCTGTCGCTTTCTAATTCAGCCCAACATTTTCAAAATTCTGTGCCAATGCCTCAAACGGTTTTCCCCAACCACCATCAACAAAAACCCTAACTGGTGTAATTTCTTGTGGAAGAATGTGGGTGAAGATCCCTTCAGCTCTACAGATCCACCCTCTTTGCCAAGGCACGCTTAAGCTCATCTGGCGGCTCATATTGGCATAAGGAACATACTATGTTTCCTTGATTTTGGATGCCCCCTTTCGAACCCCCTCAACCCTTATCTCTCCTTACCCCCCTCGCTGTGTCTTACTCGTGGCAGGACCAATTGAGAAGGGGGCATATTTCTATGCATTTGTTCCTGTTTCTCTTACCCCACAACGGGTTGGTGCAGATGCACGTGTAAACAGCCCCTGGGTGGGAGTGAACATGTGTGAAGCCGTCTGTCCACTGCAGAAAGGCCAACTCTGTTCCCCTGCATAAGGCCTTCTTTCTTCCCTAGCATACGGGAAGCAGTGAGGATGGCTAGGTAGCAATGTGGCCATTCACGCTCATGTTTATCCAAGACGACATGGGATCTAGACTTTGCCCGTTCCATCCTATTAGGATGCTTTCCAAATGTGCATTTTCTGGATTAGACCAGGCCAAACTGGCACAGAGGCCCTTTTTTTTTTCTTGGTCAAACTGAATTCAAGGCCACTGGATTTAGATCGAGGCCAGCTCTTTGTTTGGAATATTTGCAAAATCACACTTTTTAACATGCAGAATTTTATGTTTATTGAACATGTTTGTGAACATTTTTTTTCTTGATGAAGATGTACAGAAAAAATGAGGTGAACTTACCAAAAACAAGGGGCGGTGACTGCCAGTCACAGCAGACTTATTTAACTGCACTGATAACTGCTGCTGGATTCATTTTTTTACCTGACCTTACATTAATCTCTAGACATTCACACACCTCTCTAACATGCCTTACAAACACAGCAAGACGTTTTGTCCTCAAGGCCAGCTCATTAGGAACCTTACAGAACCATTAACTGACTTAAGAATGAGCGGAGAAAAACAAGTTGTTACCTTTCGAGGTCCAGTGCAACCCAGAGACTAACGAGCAGCAAATGGTACATCCACGGCCTCCAGAGCCTCAATGATTAAAAAAAAAAGGAAGTAATTAAGCTAATGTGAGAGAGAAAACTAAGTGAACCGAAACTGTTGTTTGCCAGACCCCGGGGCGAAAAGTGGTGGAAGATAAAAAGGATCAATGCAATGTGTATATATCACTCAGCGCAATAACAGACCATATATGATTAATGGTTATGCTTTGCTCTCAATTTAGCTTATGTACAACTTGAAAGTCTTTCATAAATTATTTGGATTTATGATTTATTTCCATGTCCTGTGTCCAACCCTCATGAGTTCACAAGACACTAAAGATGAATAATTTAAGAATTATGCAGTCTCACAAAAAGGTTTTCCTTCTCTTTCCACGTCAAACTGCAGCGAAAAACATTTGTGGTTGAATACTTTGCACAATACATAAAGATTGAGTTGAGATACAGCTGCATGACAATAGCATGTCTCTATAGCAAGCGTGCAAAGAGGAGGTTTAGGTTTTTTCCTAGTGATGGTTCCGTCAGCTGTGAGGATGAATACTGATTATGTTGCTGGCCTCAGGTCTGCTGCTGACTGACGTTCCTATAACACGAGGTGGTCCCAGAGCCTGCATCCGGCCACAGGGCTCGTTCTCGCTGTAATCAGAACAAGTCTTTAGGGAAATGTGCTCTTTGTTCACCATAATCTTATTATCATTGCCTATGACAACAATGTATCCGATGCAAAAGGTGTTTTGAAGTTTATCCGAGACTCTCCTGTTCCTTTTTTCCCAAGAAGTGACTTTTTTTATTCAAGGATTGGTTTTGAGGGATTAATGAAGGCATCAACCTTCGAAGAGCATGTTGTTGAAAGCCCGTTGAGAAGAAAGCTGATTCTGTAAGCAGTACTACTATGCACGCACAACCCAGTCTTCAGATGGATAGTTTGCATTAATTTACTAGGCGCATTAATTGACTTGCTTCATTGAGTTTTGTTTTGGTCCGCTGGAAGCTTTGCTAAATTAGAGCATTAGGTTATTCGTTGTATGACAAAGGTTTCATGTTCAGACATGACAGGCACAACACAATTGTGCTTGTTATAAATTTATTTATAAAATTAATTTATTAGATTAGATTTGTTTATTTGTGATAGATTTGTGATATTTTATTTATTTAAAAATAAAAAACAATCAAATTACATCTAACATTAAGAAACTAGTTTTTCAGATCGAAGACAGAGGCGACTTACCTATTATTATTATTATTATTATTATTATTATTATTATATATATATTTTGTTCATATCTTTTAATGAAAAGACTCTTATGAATCCTCAAACACTTGTGTAGCCTGCTGTTAATTCTTGACTCCTTGACTTGGTCATCACAGCGTTCCCAAGTCACGGAATGATGAATTGATATCCGGTACTGGAAGGGAAGCCAGCCGCGGATTCTCTGAGTGCATGTTGAGAGTTGAGACCTCTTTGTTGTCTGGTAAATGACGTCTGAGAGTCCTCCAGTGTGTCATAGAATATTTTAGTTAGATATTACGGCAGTGATGATCATGAATCCGTAGGACTTGTTCACAATGCTGTACTTTATCCTGCAGACAATGTCTGGGAGCGTTTTGACTGGGGCACTTAAAGTGATCATCTTCTGCGCTTGTCTCTGAACCTGGGGACTGCAGGTTGAATCCAGTGTATCCTAGCTCAATATGAAAGGATTAAGTAAAATTTTTTTCGAAAGGTGTCAATGTCTTGGTTTTCTATGCTACTATATGAAATATTATCTACATTATATTGGCTTATATAGAATAGATTTTATAGTGGCTTTAATTCCCCCCCGATCAGTGATTGATAAAAATGGTTACTACCATTACTGCACTCAATCTCGAGGAAAAAAACCTGCCCAAAAACATGATTACAAAGTAGTTATGAAAGTAGTTCTTTTGTTAACCACATTCAGAAACTGAGATCTTTACATCCTGTAGCAGCATTTGCATGCAATGAATCAGTCTAGCGTTTAAATGACTAATGAATGTGTCAAAGGAAGATTTGGAAAAAGGCTCTGTTAAACACTGTCTGTAAATGCCTGTGGCTGCTCGGCCTCCCATCACAGACACCTGAGCTGCTCCTTATCATCCGCTGCGTCTGAAACACGGATGCTTGAGGACAGACTGCTCCCAAAGTAAACAGACCAGCACTTCCAGGAATGTGAAGATAAGGCTCTCTGGAAAATCACGCTGATGACATTTCTGTGTGTTTACTTTTCTGTCTATAAAGTTGCTTTTATTAGCATGCTGTGGCCGGCTCTCGGACCCCACCTGACTGGAGTCAAGGGACACTTTAAAGACGTGGTGCCGATCTTGACTGTGGCATTGACCTTAACCTCCACCCTCTCGGCTCATCAGCGTGTCTCAAGTGATGTCAAGGGGCTGCAGATGAAATACAATTCTCTGCCCTCCCGTCATTAAACCTATATTATAAATGAAAGCTTTGGTCTTCACTGTTAGTGAAGTATAGTTTATTAAATTAGGGTCATGACCTCTGGGACTCCCAAAATCTGTATTGTAAACCATCTGAGCAGCATTTTAAAGAAGGGAATGAATGCATTAATATTAATAACCGTTGGTAGCAGTTGGCTTCCATCGAAGCTGGCTTCCATCCAGATCCTGCCAGCAGATGGAGCCTAATTTGTCTAGGAGTATGTCTGCTGCTGATGTAATGTTTTCATTCTTGTCTTTTTCGTTGGGCTGGATACCCAGAGTGCCCTAATGGAAGCCTGCTTGCATAGATGGTTCCTTTAGTTGTGAAAATCCAGTGTTTCTGTGGTTTCCTCATGTGGCAAGGTGTTGCCCTGGTCCAGCATTCCTGTCTGGGAATGGCTGCACGCCCGTGGGAGATTGTGCCATTATTTAATAGGGGTATCTATCTGGCGGACCTGGGGAATGCACCTGACTGGAATGCCATGACCAGCCCCTCTGCACAGACTTCTCGGATCTTTCACTGTGGTGCCTGGAGCAGCGTTTTACAACAGAGGCTCAGGCTTAATGAAAGACCCATTGTAAAATGGCTAATCCAATTCACAATTTCCTCCCATGTGTGGCAGAAGTATCTAAGTGTGGCAGTAGCCATCTTTTTTCCCTTTGACTTGATTCAGGCCTGCAGGCATTCCATGGTAGGAATACTCGAAGACCATAAGATATAGTGTACAAATGTCTCCAGTCAATGACTGGGTGTTTACTTATTGATGGGAATTCAGATTTATTTAAAGGACTCAACGCCAAAAATCTGTCACCAGCTCGAAGCTGGAGGGAGCACAAACTCTCACAAGGACCTGTACACTACCTAGATGTTTGTTTATATATATATTTACACTACCTAGGAGTTCATATAAGCGTGTGTATTATATATATTGACGATGGCAAGTAGTTACCTTAAACATACCTCTCACTTTCTCATGCTTTTTCTCCAGACATGGAACGAGATGTGCAGGCGAAGTAGCAGCAGTAGCCAACAATGGGATCTGCGGAGTAGGTGTAGCCTACAATGCCAAGATTGGAGGTATGATCAAATAAAACGTGTGCATGATTGATTACATCTCACAAGGGCAAACCCTGGGTTCATCTTAGTTTTCTTCCATGACAGGCAGAAATGTTGAATTGCTTGTTCTGCAGTGCCAGGGTTATTTTCAGCCCATTTCCCAGACACGGCATGTGATGTGGAATTCACTGCAACAGTATTGGTTTTCCATGGAGTGACTGTATTGAAAAAGCCCAGTAGAATGCAGTTTCTGAAATTACACCGTTCCATAACGTTGCGCAATGTGTTTTAAATCATTGTTGAAATATATTAATACCAGTTGGTGTGCAAGTGACACCAAATGGCGGATTAAACTCTCTGATATGTTCCAGTATCTCCTGTAAATTGGTGCAAAAACACCAAACATCATATGCACCCTTCAACACAAAGAACAAAATGTACCTGACAAAGTGCAAGGGAAAGGTATTAGGAGACATTCCTCGCTGACTCTCGATTTTGATGTGTCCTCTTTCTCCACCTTGTTTTATTCGATCCACAGAAAGCTGCGACTCAAATGTGAGAGTTTAATGCGTTTTATCTTTTTTTTAATTCAATCTTTCTGAAGGTTTTAGACAAAACAATCATTTTAAAACACATTACCACTTTCCAAAGTAGATTTTTTTTTTTCAGGAATGATTAATCACTTAAAGGGGTGGTCCTGATGTCTTGAAGTGAGGCTGTATGAGGCCCTTATCTTTCGTCAGCGTATTGCCTCGCACTGTGAAACCCTCACTTTTTACTTTTCAGGTACTAAATATCACAGCAGCCATTTGTCCTAATAAAGGTTAAGACTTTGACTGCAGTTCCATAATTGATGGCAATGTGAAAACCAACTGTTAGACAGTGACCCGCAGACAGAAATCTGCTAATTTACGAGAGAAAGATAGATACAAAATATGAGAGGGGGAAAATATTGTGAAATATGAATTTGTTTGTTCTAAAAATGATGTTGCACCCTACAGGGAGGGAGCTGTTTTGAAGTTAGTGTACTCATTTTTTTTTAAACTATTTTTATGACATTTTATTTTAGCTTTTTCAAGCAAAAAGCTCTTCCTGCATATTTCCAGCTCCTCAAAGTCTAACCCCGTCTGAATAGAGCTGTAACTCTTTATAATATCCAGATGGCCAGCAAGAATATACCACATGGCAGCATCATCTCTATTGTAACAAGTGGGCTGCGTGTGAGCGGGTAGGCGGAGCAGGAGGTGGTACCGTGCTGTTAAAACCGTCACTTTAAACCAGACTCATGGATCTTTTCCATCAGAAGAGTGAGAAATTAGAACTGGACTGCAGAATAAAGAGGCTATTTCGGAGTAGTGTTTACATACTTGGCCATTAAAGCAGGTTCTGATGAATCACAGGCAGATATCAGAACAATTAAGCTTAACGGACTTAGTTTTTGTATGAGCAAAACCACTGGTACGGCTCTTATCCATCTCTAAGTTAGCAACATTTAATTATTTAAATAATTTATTTACAAAGTATGAACTATACTTTCTCTATATCTATTAATTTCCTGAATCATGTACAGGCAAAGCATAACTGTCACTTATATTTTATGAATAAGCCGTAACTGCTTTGAATGCTATGATTTACGTGAGCTTTTTTAGGATCTGAGAGTTAACAAGCGACTCATCCCACTGGATTGTGCATATACATAAAAATCGTTTCCACACTGATGCAATAACTGCCCTGGTCTCTAGATTTTGGGATGGTTGAATATATAAGATGATGACTGGAAATACTTCTCCTCCTCTGCGAATCATGCAGAAGTGCAGGCTGCCATGGAAACACTCGCAGAATCACTTTTTTGTTATCTGTGATTTCTCAACACTATCCTTGGTGAAACATTACAACAAACACCTTCCCTCCTATTGTTTTGTGTATTTGTGTGTGTTTTTATTAACTCTTAAAGTATACCTTGACGGATGACCGTCCGGTCTGAGATTAAGTTGTCTTGGTCACTAGTAATGGATGACGTGGCCTCAAGTTTATATCCATTTACCTCACTTTTTGATTATTAGGCATTCGATTTGATATAAAATTTTACCCATTGTAAAAAATATATATACATATAAAAAGATGTATACTAAGACACCCTTTCTGTCTGTCGCCTGGAAGGTGTCCGTATGCTGGATGGTGAGGTGACTGACATGGTGGAGGCCCAGTCCCTCAGTCTGAACCCCCAACACATCGACATCTACAGCGCCAGTTGGGGCCCAGAGGATGACGGCAAAACCGTTGACGGACCCGCCAAACTCGCCAAAGAAGCCTTTCTGCGTGGAGTGACGGAGGTTTGTGCTCGTCAATGTTTTTGTGGGACAGAAATGATTTACTGCATGTGTGTGACTTCCTTTCATTAGCAATTAAAGTGTTCGAGCAAGGGAGAACACGAGCACGAAGAACAAAACAAATTTTTGAACCGGACTCTTCCGAATGGAAGGGAATGTCCTCTAAAAGCCTCCAGACAGGAAAATCTTTAAAAAACGAATAGGAGCAGCACTGAAAAAAAGAATGAATGAAAAGTTAGTTGAAGGGTGCTTTTTAAGCTGCCTGCTCATCTTTAGTCTCTCAGCTTTCTTTCTTAGTCGGCATGTGGTCTCTTCATGTCTGAATTAGTTTTTAAAAGAAGTCTTAAAAGAAACATATTTTATTTATTTAGCTAATTGCCACAGTGCTGTCAGATGGCGGTGTGGGTGGCGAGTATCTGGGTTTCATCAATGCAGAGAGAGAGATGGTTCTAGTCCATATAATAAAGCCGCTCTTAAGAGGAAAATTATTGCTCTTCAACCGGCTGAGAAGTTGAATGATTTAACACAAGCAGCCGTTGTCATTTAGTGTTTTTTTGTATTGACTTCTTTCATGCACCGTATAGCTCTTTTTGATTTACTAAGTAACCACCCCGGCCACTGGGATGCGTGCTGCATTTTAATGGTCCTTTTGGAAATGGGTCCTGAAAAAAATGTGCTATTATCATCAATTTCTGGTTTGTGTGATCCAATGAACGAATGATGACGTGTTTCTGTGGTTGTTTTTCTGAATGTATTGTACATTATCCAGGGTCGTGGTGGTTTGGGCTCCATCTTTGTTTGGGCTTCTGGTAACGGAGGGAGGGAGAAGGACAGCTGTAACTGCGACGGCTACACCAACAGCATCTACACCCTGTCCATTAGCAGTTCCACCCAGAACGGCAACGTGCCCTGGTACAGCGAGGCCTGCTCCTCCACCCTCGCCACCACCTACAGCTCGGGGAACCTCAACGAGAAACAGATAGTGAGTGGTGCTTTTCTCTTATTATTCCTCTTCCTGTTTCTCACAGGATCTTAACTTCTGCCCCTGTGTTAAGAATACTTATTCCAAGGTAAAGTTTCCCCAGCTTCAGTAAGGCTGTTTAGGTGAACCTATTTCCTCCTTATTGTATTAACTGTGCAAATTTCATTTAAACATTTTGAAACCTGCATTCTTTGCAGACATATTTACTATCTTTCCTGCCATCGCTGGCCTCAAACAATATAAAAGTTCTTCCTGAAGAATTTTCTATAACACAAAGTCAATATATATAACAGCTTGACCTCTTCATTCTGTCCTCCCTTTCTTCTTATTTTTTTTTTTTTTACTAGCATACAGTTGAGCAGCCCCCTGACATGGGGCTCGTCTCTCAATGCCTCAGTGCTGTACTCATTTAATTGTGCTTTCACTCATAAACCCATAAAGGAAGACGTGGAGTAGAAAAGAGAAGGTGGAATCTCTTGGGTTCTGCACGACTGAATACGTTAATGTCTACTTAGTTGTTTTTTTTTCACTTATATTATTCTTCTCTTTCAAATGAAATAAAAGGGGATTGTTGACGCTGCTGAATCCATATTTAAAGCATCAATGTCCGTCCTGCCACTGTATTTATTAAAAGATTAGTTCTTGAAGGCTCTGCATTCGCTGTCACAGGGACGAGGTTTTTTTTTTTTTTTTTTTTTCAGTGAATCAGTATGACCCGCTGTATGAGATAGTGAGCCAGGAAGGGATGAAGGGGAAAAGTCTTGTGAATATATTTTAAGAACATTTAGGATTTGTGATATTGTCTGAGGACCGACAAGAGTTGGAGAACTGAATTGATGAAAAATATTTCTCCGCTTTTTTGTTCAGAGCGGTCTATTAAAGCTTTACCATTTTCATCCTCCTGTAGGTGACTACAGACCTCAAATCAAAGTGCACAGACTCGCACACAGGCACTTCTGCCTCCGCCCCGCTGGCTGCTGGCATCATCGCTCTTGCCCTTGAGGCCAAGTAAGTGCTTATCACCATATTCTCCCCAAGATTTGCAATTCTCTTCAGCTTTGAAGTCATTCTAAACTTCCTCATCTGCCTATTTTCCTGACCTTTGTTGATTAAAACATCATTGTAATACTAATGAAGAAGTTTGATTATTCTAGAGTGGTCATTTTCTGACACTTCATGCATACAACATTGTTAGAAAGCTTAAGTAGTTTGAATTTAATCCCCACACTTCACCCCAGTTCCTAGCATGCGGTAAAATTGCAAATTGGTCATTTATTGGCAGCAGGTAAAATCTTTTTCTACTTTTTTGCCAGCGATTTTAACACACGCTGCAGGTGCTGCTTGTTTATGTGTCCATTCTGCTCAATTATCCCTTTTTATGAATCACTTTGTAACCCCTCTGCCTGACAGCCTTACTGTGAATTAACAACAACAGCACTAATCGTTCTGATCCATTCTCGCAGCATTAATGGACGGACAGACCAGTGCTGAAAATAAGTAATTAGTCTTGCAGCAAAAAATCATTAAGACCTCCTGTAACCACTTTTGGCCATCCAAACCTGCACGGCAGCAGGCAAGATAACCGGTTCTTCTGGGCAGAAATTGAGTTAAAGCTGAATTTTAGTGTACTTCATAGTGTAATTATACAGCTGTCCACCTGTAGGTTAAGACTCATTGTCAGATGTGTCCGTTTGACCAAGTGTGTCTCCTGTGTCTGTCTGTCTGTCTGTCTGTCTGCTTGCGCATTCACAACTTCCAGTAAAAATCTGACCTGGAGGGATATGCAACATCTGGTTGTACGAACTTCTCACCCGACTCACCTGCTCACCAACGACTGGAGAACAAATGGGGTTGGGCGCAAAGGTACAGCAACTCCTTCCAAGTTTCTTTTGGCGCTCTGCAGTTTGCAGATGCCTTTTAGGCTCATATGATTATAATAAACCAAATTTTAATTAGAGATGCAAGGCCTAGAGTTGATTGTTGGAAAAGCGGAAATGTAACTAAGTTGTAGCAGAGAGAGGGAGCTGATCTCAGCATTCATGTGTCCTCTTTTCTCACTTGGTCCCTGCAGTTAGCCATTCATATGGATACGGTCTCCTTGATGCCACTGCTATTGTAGCGCTGGCTGAAACGTGGACTAGTGTGAGTGCGCAGCGGAAGTGTGTGATCACCATGGTCAGTGAGCCAAGGTTAGTACGTTGTACATGCACACCCCATTCACCTCACCGCTTTAATTACAATAGTCTTCTCACAATCTCACAGATTGCAACTACTTAAAACAGATTAGACAAAGCCTAATTCTAAACAACATTTTAGAATTTTTGAATCTGCATGTTGTGCTCCGCTGCCTCACTTGAGTGACTTATAACGCAATGTTGAATGTTACATTTTTGGGACTTTCAAACAAAAGTTTAAATTTTAAACATACAGTATGTTATTTATTTTTAGAAAATATATGGAAGGAGGAATGTGAAAACCTATTACTTATTCAATTTAATAGTAGTGAACATACCGCTACAGAACGGAATAAAACAGCTGTAGCTCGGTGTTGCCATTAAGCCGCATGAAAATATTGCCTGGATGTTTAAGCCGCTGTGACCAACAAGAGACATTGACATTAAACTGGTTTAAAGCGCAGGTGCTTGTGCAATACTTTGCTGCTGTCAGTGACCGGTTATGTCTTCATCTGCTCCTTCGGATCAGGCGCGCTGGTAGAAATGTTCCTTCGGCTTGACGGGGAGCATTTAGAAGAGAAATATGAATTTGTGTTACTTTGGTTGTTAAGACTGTAATTTCTTTCTTGGCCCTTTTTTATTTATTATTCTTGGTGTCACAGCCTTAACAAAGCCCAAACGTGTCGTATTCATTATGCACTCACTGTCCCCACTCGCTGGGTTGGAGGTTTCTCTCTCACTGCAGCTATGAGATGCTCAGAGCAGATGGTTTGAGCGTCTGGGAGCAGCAGTTGAGACATGTTGTTAAATTTATATTTTGGGTGTTTAACTGGCTCACTTATCAAGAGTGACTGGAAATAAGTCTTCAGGCATGTTTCCGGTGTCTCGGCTATATACAGGGATCATATCTCGCAGAATCATGACAGTTGGGTAAAAAGGAGCTATTTTCAGGGTAAGCAGCAGTACTGCACCGTCATGGTGGCAGGAGTTTGCACAATTGAATTTGTGTGAGTTAGTCTAACCTGGAGTTTAGATTTGGCTTAAAGTATGAAGTCCGCAGGGAAGCTCCTGAAAGCATGCGTCTAACCAAATGAGTGAGCACACGGGTGTTGTTTCAATACGGATTTATCGTATCGTAGGTGTGTGGGTTACGCACGCTTTCGTCTTAAAAAGTTCTGAAAGAGAATTTAGATAATTTAATGCAAATTACATTTGGTATCGCAACATTAATCATTACTGCAAACTGGAGCATTGCAAGAGTTGGAACCTCTCGCAATATTTCCGACAAATGATTTATGTTCTAGAAACTCCAAACCACCAATTTGATGTATATTCCTCGGGTTTGGCTGCCTACCAGAATGCTTTTTGCTGGTTCTGAAAAGCTTAATAAGCATGTACGGTCACATCTATTCTAGTTATAAAGGGATTTGATTTTAAAATGATAGAAGACAATGTTTATGTGTGTTATTTGTAGATAATAATGCATTCGACCAGCACTGCTGAGAGATACTAAATGCCAGGAGAAAAATTAGGAATTCCAGGAGAAGCAACTGTGCAATCTTATGTTATTGTCCAGGCATCTTTTAATATGCAGCAATAGTGTTTACCATCATCACAGGGGTAATTTCCCCCTGTAACTGCAACTGAAATATTGATAACAAAAAGAGCCAAGCTTGTCTCCCTTCTTTCTTGATTAGATGCTCTGCAACAGCGTCACAAATTTGACTTCTTTCAGGCCTTTAATCTCACCTCGCCGCAGTTGTCGGATGACTATGACAGATCTGCTTCAGCGGCAATTTGTATGCATTTCTGCTTCCTTCCTTGTTTTTGTTTTGTTTTTTGTTGCTACTGACAAACACCAAAAAACACATGACCAAACATGCAAATGTTGAATTTTAATAGTGTAAACGTTCACCGTATGACGTCACTGGCATGTACTGAAGAAAATTGCTGTAAATTAAGCATTGGGACTTTTCCCGAGTGAGGCTGCTGCAAAGGTCAAAGGCATTTCTACAGCTCTAAAATGCATCATGACAAACATTTCAGACTCAACCTGGAGGGACTGGGACATTTCAGTGATCCCACCACCTTGAGTCACTGAACCCCTTTGTCTCTATCCTCTTGCGTGTAATCTCCTCTAAAAAGAGAACGGGGCTTTACTTCCATGGAGGACACCGGTGCTACACGCTACGAGCGCGCTAATCCTGTTCAAGGCTTCGAACTCTTCACCCTCTGCAGACTTTCTCTATGGTGCGGAGCCAAGCGTTGCACTTGCGCAATTATCTGCAGGGCAGATTATTCCCAGCTTGAAAGCAGCCAGTAATGATCTTAGCGGCGCATAACCTTTATCTAACCTACGTGGCTGTCTTGATGTCTCTTTCATGTGTCCTTTCTCGTGTTTGACAGAAACATTGGCAGCCATTTGTCAATCAACGTGAGTGTGGACGCCTGCATCGGGACGGACAGTCACGTGACATCGCTGGAGCACGTTCAGGCCCGGCTCACTCTGTCCTACAACCGCAGGGGGAACCTGGCGATCCACCTCATCAGTCCCTCCGGCACTCGCTCCACTCTGCTCCACCCAAGGTAGGAACACTCTCGTGCGAATACACACGGACGAAAAAGGTCAAGTTGGTAAAAACCAACTTGTTTACGCTGCCTTATCTTGGTTTTCCTGCAGGCCTCATGACTACTCATCAGAGGGTTTCAACGACTGGGCTTTCATGACCACTCACTCCTGGGATGAGAGCCCCACTGGCGCGTGGATGCTGGAGATCGAGAACGTGGCTGGTGCCAGTGATTACGGTAAAGCCTCTTCGGGGGTGGATTTTCCTGCACGTTTCTGTGCTCCTAACTAGAATTTAGTGGTTGCCTAGTTTTTTGTCTTTTGGGGCATATTTAAAATCTGGATAATGATTCAAGATAATGATTATTGATTAAAGCTGCTTTCCTTGCTGGAGTCTTTGGGGAAGGAGTTTCTGCTTCTGATGTTTAGTTCCATATGATTTCACGGCAAGCGCATGTGGACCTGCTGACAAGTATTGAGAATAACTATATTGGGGGAGGGGGAAAACAATATGGTTTCTGAAAGTGAGTTGTTTGCTCATTTACATTACAAGGTCACATCATTATTACATTTAGGCCATTTCATAGTGATTCAAAAGTTCCTTGTGGTGACCTAAAATTAGATGACTACTTTTCTGATTGAGTGTTTTATATTTTCAGTAAAATGAGAAATCTCAGGGGGACATCTTCATAATGTCTGCTGTTTTTGTCTGAAAGCCTAACCGATTTAAAATTATATTGAACCAATTAAAACTGTAGACTCTCAATTAAGAAGCTGAAACCATAGAAAAAAATGCAAATTAATGTTCCGTCCATTCAGACGATCCTTACTTGAATTGTGCAGGAGTGCTTTTTTTTACTATTTAATCAGTTACTTAGTGTATTTAAGCATATGTACAGTGCAGGTGTATAGGCCGTGTTCCTGCCTCTTGTCCTGTCAGTGAGCGTAGAACGAGGCAAGTGCATTAAGTGTGCGTCTCATCCATGAGGCCACCAGGACAATACAGAATGACCTGACATGAACTGTTCTGTTGAGTAGAGTTCAGCTCAAGGGTAAAGGATTCACTGCCAGGAGATAAGCGAGCAAGTGGCTCCTGCATCCAGACATGCTTTTTACTCTTTATAGTAGCCGACTTTGGAAAGCTCTGCATTAACCAGTATTCTCATTGCAGGCAGCAGAGTGAATATTTCCACCTTTCTGTTCGTTCTTGCATTCTCCAACAACTGTCTGGATCTTCGTCATCCACCCACAACACGCTACTCAGAAGCCAAGAAAATCCTTGAAAAAACAGAAAAAAAAATTTTTATTTAAAAAATACTTATAAACGCATCACCCCTCCCTCCTCAGCAAGAAAATGTTCACTTAAGTGGAACCTCTCACAATTCCCCTCACATGAATGCTTCTTCAGAGATGTGCACTTAATAACATTCACATTAGGTACAGATTGAATCAGTAGCTCATTTTAAGGAATCATTTTATGCATAAGTCTACTATTATAGGATACATTTAAAAAGTCCACCTTAGGGAGTGTCAGAGCTCCTCTCTTTTTGACAGGCCTATTTTGTCTCTGGGTTAATTTGATTTTATCTCCATTTCTCCGCACAGGTACTTTGACCCAATTCACCCTGGTGCTGTATGGCACCGGCTCAGTGTCCTCCAGCTCCACGGACGACGCTCAGCCTGAAAATGGCAACTGTAAGACCTTGGACCTGAGGCAGATATGCATCGGTAAGACTAGCATGTCTTGTCCAAAGCTTGTTCCTCCCGCTGACGGGAGGTTGTGTAATCATATGTTGTGTCACGTTGAGATGTGACGTGTGAAGCAGCGTTTGAGGTGATCAGAATGAAATATTCTCCTGTGTGCTCAGCTGCGTTTGTTTGAGTTGCATGTCTCTTTAACTGTTGTCAGAATTCTCTTTTTCAAACTAAACAAATGAAGGCCTAACTTCTGCTTCATATCTATACACCTTTTACCCATTCACATTTTGGACAGTTTTGTTCGGTCAATAGCAGTCTCGTTGAATGAAAGTAAACGGTGAAGAGGGAAAGGAAGTTTAAAAGGCAGAATGCATTTGCCGTAATGCGATCAGGGAACCCATCGGTTATTGTCTGACATATGATTTAAAGTTGGCCTTTGAACTGGTTTAACTGTGAAACAAACTGGTCGAACACGTTGGTCTTGTAAATTGCTAATCCGACTGTCACAGGCTAACTTTAAATCATATGTCAGACAGTGAGCAGCACACAGAAAGTGGAGTCTTGACCACACCGCGACCTCAGACCCAGGCCCCTTGGCCTCGAGAGACTTATCCATGGTTAGACCGATGATGGGATTGACCTCTGATGAGATCAAGCGGCCTACTGGAGGTCCTTTTTTAGTAACCCTATTTAAATAAAATGGTGCCCATTTTGCCGTTTCCTAGCTAATCCAAATAATGCTCTAGGCAAGGTGTACGACTGTCTATGTGCACCTACATATTGTCTGAACGGTGACAGTGTGACCTCTACAGGCTATCAGAGGTACCTACACACCACCAACACATGATCTGCATTAGGGGGTCAACAGAGGTTAATAGATGTATTTGATTATCATATAATATTTTCTCATTGTCACGTATTAATCAATGCTCTCTGATTTTGGGATGATAACTGCAGTGTACGAGTATATTGTCCTCCTCTTTTCTCTCAGCTCGGTTCCCCCCAGCACCCAGTCTGTTCATTGCCATCACAGGCAATGGTCTGCATCTGGAATGCCTCTGTTGAATTTAACATGCTGCTGTCAGCATATCAATTAGTTTTCTTAGTAAACAAAATATCTCTAACTAAAGTGAAAATGGCGACTTAAAAGCAAAATTGCCTCACATTGGAAAAATGAAGATATAACTGTTACATATTGTGCACCTACATATTCACTATGGCCTCTGTCAGGGCACCAACCCTCTCTCTCTGTGATTGGGTTGTCTGACTTGTATAAAGAGGTCAAATCAGTGTTTGCAGCTTCTAATCTGGGTTTTATTTCTCTGTGTTGCAGAGTGCGACGCGGGCCACTACCTCTTTCAGCAGAGCTGCGTTAAAGACTGTCCCGCAGGCTCGTCGGTGGGCTCCCAGCCCCTCAACTACACAGTGGGGAACTTCATACCACCAGCTTCCGTCCTGGCCTGCCTGCCCTGCCCATCACCCTGCCTGACCTGCAGCAGCCTCAGCCCTCGGGCCTGCCTGTCCTGCCCCACTCACAGCTCCCTGGACCCCATCAGTGGCACCTGCATGCACCTCAACCAGTACATGCGCGAATCTCCTCGCAGCTTCATAGTGGGAGAGGGGAACCCGGGGACGCAGCTCCAGCTCAGCTCCCGGCTGCCCATCACCATCGCCGTGCTCAGCTGCATGGCCATCATCGCCACCTTCGCTGGCACCTTCCTGCTGCTGCAGCTGCGCTCCGGCGCGCTCATCAAGCTGCCCTCTCTGGAGGCTGGCAGCGGCCTGGGTGGCAGCTTCAGCCTCGGGGGGAATCGGGTGGTCTCGTACCGCGGCATCCCGACAATGTGGGGGGATGATGGGGTCAATACAGACTCTGACAACGAAGAGTTTGACGTCCAGAATGAGAGGACTGCCTTTATTAAAACACAAAGTGCTCTTTAATGCCTCCCCCACATGCCTCCTGCTCTCCTGCTTTTAAAGTCTTCTCACCTTCATTGGTCTAACGATTTGGAGCAGTGGTAACAACCCTCATGCAGTCTTTCTCTGGCTTTATCGGTCAGCTCTTCTCTCTCGTTTCTTTTTGGGTTCTGCCTGGGATGGTCTAAGCTTTGCTATGCTCACGCTTGGGTGCTTCTCTTCAAACTGCTTCTCTCCCTCCTCTTGACCTCCATAACTAATTGTGTCTGTCTGTGCTGAGCCCATTTTCCCCTCTGGTTCCTTTTTGTTCCAGTTAACAAACGCGTTTTTTTTTCTTCTCATTTTTCTCTTTTTCTTTCCATCAGTCTTGGTGCAGAAGCCAGACAAAATTGTTGAATGTGAGGAGTGTGTGAGCGTGTACATCTGATGAGCAGTGTTCTGCCTTTTCTAGAGAAGCTAAAGCTGGCTCTGTCACATTTAGTGTTTTAACTTTAAACTGATATGAAACATTGTATGATGAGGCATAAAATCAGATTTGAAAACATGGATTCTCCTGTCAATTAGTGGCATCAACTTCCAAACTGTTCATAAAAGCATTGCTTATCTGTAGCCATGTACAGTGAATTTAAAACGTCCACAAATCCAAAGTTTAATAGGAGTGAGGGGGGGGGCTTCAGTGCTCTTATTGTACACAGAGCCTGCAAACCTCTCTCTCCGCTCTGGCGGAACAAACCAACAAAGCTTCTTACAGACTGCTGGGATTCAAGATGGACTCAATCTATCCCGGTTTGAGAACTTTAAACACTCTTGTGCTCATCTCCTACCCAATCGTCACATGGAAAAAAAGTTCAATAAATGAAAAGAACAAACAAAAAACCCATACTCACACAGGCTTCTCGCTCAACCCTGAGGCACAATCCCTTCCAGGGGCATTTAATTTTTGTGTTTGATGTCCTCACATCCCGGGCTGAGAGAGAAGCAGCCGACGTGCCGATGGGACTCGGAACAATATGTGACTGTTGAGCACAAGAGCTTCTCAAAAGCAGCCGGCAGGTGTTGTTACCTGCGAGTGATTCCTTGACAGAGCAGACTCATTTAACAATACATCAAGGCTTTCCCTTCTTTTCAGAGTACATTAACACTACAAAGATACACGCGGCACACTGCATATCATAACAAACTTCTGTGGATGTGTGAAAGTTTACTGATATGAAAAGGTTCTCACTGAAAGTGATGCTTTCATTTCCTCCTTTGCTTCATAGAATTATTTAACCCGGTGTAGCTATTTTGAATTCATCGATCTCTTTTGCTTTCCTTTGTGTGAATTCTTTCCACTACAGAAACAGCGAAACTGGCTGAGAGAGGTTGTCATGGTGATGACATGCATAGAAAACTGCAGCTGCTCATCCTGTTTTTTCATCTACCTCTCATATCAGCAAGGCTTCACACGCCGCTAGAGGAGCTGTTAAATAATTTTAGAGGTCAAAGTATACTGAGGTTGAATATGACCGGCATGTTGGGAAAGATTTGAGAGGGTAGGCGGGTCAGTTAAATTGATGTTTTAGAAGGGACGAGCAATTGTGATCCAGAAACTTTAAATTTGCTGTGTAAAATCTATTCTGCTGAAACTACGATCCCTTTCTAAATGTATTGTCTTGAGGGTCTGCCCATCTGGGCTTTAAAACCTGTTATTGAAAAGAGAATGAGTGGAAGGATGTCCAAAGAAGTGGGCGAGCGTTTAAGTGCAAAATCAAAAGCGGAACACCTTTTTTGTTCATACATTTATGTCACTGACAATCAAATCCTTTCCTTATTTTGTGGGTAAATAGGTGCACAAACATACAAAACTATCAATTAAACCACTTTTGTTCTTTCTCTGAGGGTCTTAGTCGCAAATATTCAGAATTGTTCAGAGAGAAAAACGGTTTCCAAACCAATACCATCCACAATCCGCTACAAAAAGATGAAGAGGTGTGTGTGTAGTGTGTGCGCGTGCACGTGTTTGTGCGTGCTTAATTCATCTCGGATGGATAGTGCAGGTGTAGCGCATTTGGCTTATTGCTGCAGTTTCGGCCAGGAAGCACTAAACGGGATTGGAAAGAAAGCCAAGAATTTGGATTTAGAGAAATTGCTCTAAAAAAAGAACGACTGTGGCTCCAGAATAATGAGTGTGTGCTGCATAGCTTTGTTTCATGTACATCAGTGCCTACTGCCATTTAGACTTCGATCAAGTATAAGGAGGATGCTAATTTAGAAATGTAATAACTACAGCCTCAGACTGAAGCCACAGTCTTATTGACTTCCAGCTCAGTGTGAAAACAGATAATGGGCTAATGTGGCACAGAAATTGCTTCCATAAACTGTTTTCTTAAGAGTGGATGCAAAGCGTTTACTTCTCTAGGAGAACAGCAGTGTGCGACTTTTACCAATGCAATTTGTATTGATGCGCAGTCTTATCAACATTATCCATTGTGCATCTCCTTGCAAAAGATTTATGTCTTCCAGAAAGAATAAAGTTTATCCTGAAGTGCAACATTTTTGGGGTGTTCAGACAGGTTTCTGCAGCCACAAGGATTAATTCATCTCCGCTTGATCTTGTATTTGCCGCATCTTGAAGAAAAAAAAATGAATGCGAGCAGCATTCAGTAGACAGTGTTTCCAACAGAGGGAGCTGCTGAACACCATTAACAGCCAGATCAATCCTTTCACTGCAGGAATGTGAAGGAAACTGCACACTAAAAGATGAAGAGGGTCCCTTATTGTGCCAGCAAGCAGCTCATCATCGTAGCGCTGCCACTTCACCGGCACTAAAGTGTTAAGCTTTTTAATGTGGAAAGCAACAAATGTTACCAAGAAATATATCTTCTCTTTGCAAATGTTCTCCTCCAGCTGTAAAGCTTCTCTTGCTCATTGAAGTCATGGGGGCTTTTTTCTTGTTACAGCGGATTTATTCCATTTGGAGCTCGATGTTGCTTCAGTCCTGCCTTTTGGGGTTCAGTCAATAACGTGTTCAATATGAAGTCTGATGGATTTGATAGGAGCAATATCTTTGGCATAACCAAAGACAATCATTTTAATGCTGTCTGTTTAGTGTGACGTCGTGTCGCTTTCAGGTCGTCGCAGCCCGTCTATCCCTTTCACTCGCGTCAAAGTGCTTTTTCACAGCTTTTTATATATATATATATATATATATATATATATATATATATATAAGAATCTGCAGTGACGCTAAATGTTCAGTAGCTCTGAAGGAAGGAAGTAGAATGTATCACATCTCCATTAACTTAAGGGCTGAGTCAGACCTGCGAGCGTCAATGTGTGCACATGCTAGTTTTAGCATCAGTTAAACACTTGGTGGTGGTGGTGGTGGGGTGGGCAGGGGGGGGTGTTGTTTAGTGAAGCAGCCTCAGACAACTCTGTTGATCTCCTCCCACCTCCTCTAAAGGTTCCTGGCTGCACACAATACCTTACAGATTTGTGACTTATCAATAATGTGCAAGAATTACTATCTTACATGGGACACAACTCTAAAATAAGGCCTATTTTTGTACTATATGAATGGTGCAGTGTAATTTTCTTGTAATTTAAAGATACTCTTGTTTTTCTCCTTTATTTAATTGATGTCAATTATAGATTCTACTAAAAAATAAAGATCTATGCAAATTTGAATGTGTTTTTACTAAATGAAATGCGCTAAAGGGAAATATGACTCAGATCATTCTGTCACAAAAAGAAAGCGATAATTGTACATAATTGTTTCCTGGGACTGATTTATTGATATATTAATGTGATTGTTTTACTGGTGCATGACCATGTAAATGGTAATATACTGTAAGCTTATCAGCTTTTTGTAACAGTCCAACGCTTCGGACAACTATTTACTATTTATAAATCCTTCTGACTACCAATCCTCTGTCAGCAGTGTAAAGCAGTTAAACACAAGTTCAATGCTTCAGTTTAACATTGAGGCTCTTTTACTTATGGGGGTGTGTCAGATTTGAGTTTCTCTGCTGCACACAGGCGGCACACAGGCAGTTGCAAAGCAGGTCTGACTAGAACACATTTGCAGATAAAGGACATACTCAAGTTAAAAATACCTACCCTTAACATTGTATTAGAATACAGTACTTTTAGTATAGGCTTCCCTGCCGAGGCACCTCTGTTATGTAAAATAGTTTACATTTAGAATGGTGGAAATGGACATTGTCCCGTGCTGTTGCTTCTACACAATTATCTCAAACGTTTAACATTTTTTACGTGCGGTGTCTTTGTATCAAAGCTCTGCGGCTTGTAAAACAGGCCGAGCTGCTCTGCATCGCTCAGTCTATTTCTGTCCCGTCTTTCTACAACAGTGTGTTGATGTTGTGTGACGTTTGGGTAGAGTAAATAACACCAATGTTGTTGAGGAAGAGGTCTCATGCAGCATCCCACCAAGCTGTTGACCGTGAGTGACACTGAGGCAAAAAGAAAATGAAAACTTAATTTCATGCAACACACACCGGCAGTTGTTTACAGTAAGATGTGTTCTAAAAGCGATAAGCTGAAACCTAGAAGGGGATGCAACACAACAAAAGAATTTCCCTATTTTGAAAACCTGTAACTGTCATCTGGTCTTTCGCCAGTTGCTTAATACGTGATGAATAAAATCGAAACAGACGCACTTTGATTGAAATAGATTATTAAGTGAAAGACGTGCTCATTCCCAGCGAGATGTACTTAAAGCATTAATTGTATATCCTGTGAGCTGTCATGTGTAATGCACGTACTGTTGCACAGAGTAGTTTTAACGTTGAACTGAGTACTGTTGAGTTCATCCGGTTTACTGTACATCGGAATGGCGGCTGTAAAATGACAGTGAATGTCTGTCTGTTTACTCCGTTTCATTTGACAATTGCAACAGGGGCAAGTTTCCACCGTTCCACTGCCACTAGAAACGGTTAAAAGCAAAATAACATTACACACACAACCACGTTCAAAAGAGCAACGAGGAAGTGTCTCATCACATGAAACCGCGCTACCTTTTCACAGGGAAGTGAAAACCCCTAAATGCCACAGAGGAAATAAAAAAAAAAAGGCACTCTTGGTCACCGGTAGCTGCTTCGGCTCTGCGCTCTCGCACTGGTTGAGAAACGCGCAGTTGGCTCGGACTCACTGCTGACGAAGGAGGTGTGGGAAGATGAGCTTTGGGGAGGACCTGCGTTGCCCCCAGGCGCACGCAGCCGTCATCAGATTGCTGGACTCGGAGCTTCACCTGATGGAGGTCATGAGAAAGTGGATGGGTCATCGAGCGAAGAGCGAACGTGAGTTTTCAACGCAGCTGCAGCACATGTCCGCTATGGCGGAGAAGCTGGAGCGGCCTGCGCCTGCTGCGGGGCAGGAGTACATCAGCCAGCTCAACAAGGTGAGGTCTGCTGATCGTCGACGGATCCATCCAGTGGCAGAATTATCCTCTCGCATGTGGTCACGTTCTTAAAAGTGCCTTTTGTCTCACAGTTTTGGTATTCTAACATGAATCTGTTGAGAAGTCGTGCTGCTCAATTTATTTGAGGCACAAGATCTGAGAGGATTTGTTCGTTTTCCAAATGAGGAAGCAAACTACCACAATACTATTTTAATTTATTTAGCAGCACTTCTGTAAAACTACAATAAAGTCTAATCGCCGCGTCTATCTGACGCAGGAACACAACCAGAACAATTTGTGGTTAACAGGTTGTTTGTAATTTGCTCAGGAAGCACTATGACATGAACTCAATGTCATTGTAGATACAATCTATTCTATTGTTGAGTGTAGACAGTAAAACAACTACTTTAAATCTGCACTGAGAGTGAAGTTATGAGTCAAAACCTCAAATGTTTAAAGACTAGTTTGTATTCGGCCCATCTACACTATCAGATCAACAACTTGACATCCCACCTGAGGATAAAACCTGTGGCGGTCTCCCTGTCTTTTGTCCCCTGTCCGTCAGTCATGGGGAGTCCTGGTCTCTCAGACGGACCTCCTCAGTCAGGCGATGAAGAAGCGCTCCGAGGACTTGCTGGACGGTCCCATCAGCAAGCTGACGCTGCTCATCAGAGACAAACGGCAGCTCCGCAAAACCTACGCAGAGCAGTGGAACCTGCTGAGGCAGGAGCTGAGCAAGGTGTGGGGTAAACGCACACACAAAGTCTTTTTTAATGACCTTTTTATTACCTTTAAACCCCTAAAATACAATCATTTAAGTTCCGAGTTTTTGGGATCTTTTTGTCGACCGACTGCACACAAAACAAAATCAAATGGCTCATGTATATTCTTAAAGGGAGAAAGCACAGCTGTGAATGAAGACTGCTTGGTTGAATATCGTACCCCAAAACTGTTTTTTGCCTTTTCAGGGACCATGTACCCGTGTGGTCACTGAAGTTGTTGTTTTACAATGTATTTACTGATTTTCCTCAGGTCATGCTGCCATGCACATGCATTGCAGTCACAGCATTATAAGCGTTCAGCAGTCAAACTGTCAAACACTGTTCACATGCAATTGTGATCTCAAACTGTTGATTGCTACACAGTTTTTATTACCCAATTATCAGGGAAACGATGTGTCCTAATTCACGCTGATCCGTACAGGGTTGCATTTTGGCCGTTTGCCAGGCGCTTAGTTTATTCTAATTTTCTTACTTAATTGTGCTGTGTAAGTAAGTACGTATACAACAAAATGTATTCATGTCAGACGTCTTACTGTATCAGTTTGATTTTTAAGTATTAGCATCTGGCAGCTGAACAAAGGTCCGATAATTTCTTCCCCCCTCGTGTTTGTTGATCCTTTGCAGTGAAATGCACCATAGCCGGTGTCCACATCCTGTGTCATTTTCGTGTCACACTCGCCAACCCACTTTCTAACCACACACACACATTCAGTGTGCTGCGAATGAAGCCCACTGCCTTGCACCAAACGTTTTCCATTCGTCTGGTTTTCTGCAGGTGACCCAGACAGAGCTGGAGAGGCTGAAGAGCAACTACAAACAGGCAGTGAGAGATTCCGCTCAGACTAAGAGGAAGTACCACGAGGCCGCTAAAGGTCTGCACGTAGTACTTTTTATCTTCAGAGCACATTCAGTTTCACACAATGAGTATACAGTTTGGTGTACATTTCAACATGTTATTCTCTTTGTGTGTGTTTTTGTCCACGTGTGTGTGCACACAGATAAAGACCGAGACAAGGCTAAGGAGCGTTATGTAAAGGCTTCAATGAAACTCCACCAGTTACATAACGAATATGTGCTGTCTGTGCGAGCTGCTCAAGTTTACCATCAGCAACACTACACTCAGATCCAGCCCGCCATGCTCAGTGCGCTGCAGACTCTGCAGGAGGAGATGGTGCTCATACTGTAGGGTCACATGCAGCGTGTTTGTTTGAATGGCATTGCTTTACGGCGGTTCTCCTCACTGAAGATGAAGATGATCGAAATGGAAAAGCATAATCTGAATATGGTGTTTGTACCTGCTGTAAATCAGAGGTCACGGCTTGTTTTAGGCACAACCTGCATCACAGGCTTTTAAGGAAACAAGACAAATATGAGCATAATTCAAACATCCAAAAGAAAAAATGTTTATCTGAGTCCCAGAGTAGATTTGCATTTCTAATGATTCTGACTGAATTGCATTTACTTGCAAGAAACAACCCTGTACATTTTTACAGTGTTCTTTGGAAAGATGTACTGTTAGGTGGCTGTGGTTTGAGGTTTGGCTAAAACTCACACAAACTTGTCCTTGAAAAACTGACTTTGTATTATTCTGTTTTCATGTGGCATCTCTGATCTCAGAAAGGAGATCCTGGAGGAGTATTTTGATATCTACTCCTCCCTTCACCATGAAGTGGTGCAGCTCCACAGGGAGATATCTTCTGCTCTAACAGCCATCGATCCTCAAAGAGAATATAAAAGCTTCATCCAACAGAACCGGTAGACCGAGTCAGAATTTCACAAGTCAGCAATGCAGTCATGACAGCTGCCGTCTGCAGAGCAATGCAACTGTGTGTTTGTGTCATCAGGTCCATAGGAGAGAATCCTGCTTGTGTAGAGTTTGATTGCAGTCTGCTGGAGGACACTGAGCAGCTCCGACCCAGAGAGATTGAACTGAACAACCTCACGCTTGAGATGGTCCGGCACAAGTGAGGACAAATGACGCCTCTCCTCCAGAGGACCAGACGCTTTTTAATTTTTTTATAGTGTGATTACTACTTCCTCCTCCTAAAACTCCCTGTGCTTTTTTTAAACTCCTATTTCCGCTGACAGTTTTACATCAATTACTTCCCCAGCTGTTGTCATTTCCCCTTCTCCCAGACTGACCGCGGTGGAGGAGGAGCTGCTGGCTTTGGCTCGGACTCTGTGCTCCCAGCAGACCGCGGTTGAACAGCTGGAGCTGGAGCTGTACAGAGAGTGTGAGGGAATCACAAAGGGCCAGAGGTGAGGGCCGCCCCCCCGACACGTGGCAGAAATAGTGACTCTGTGACGCGGTATGCAGAGGTTACAGAGGAGGCATCAAGGTAGAACACGCAACCTTCGCATGGGAGGAGTTCAGTGTGCTCTTGCAAGGGCAACACCTAATAACTAGAAGGGCTGTATGTGCTTTAAAGTGGCATGCTGGTTGAGGTTGACCTGGTGTGACTTCCTGGAGCTGAGTGTGTGCTGTACTTAGATGCAAAATGCATAGGAAGAGGGGTTGAGGGGTAATCTGCCAACTGCTAATCCTTCCCCTGGTGGACCCTTGGTTAATCCAGCAGGTTATTCCTGCATGCATTGGGTATTTCTTCCTTGTGTTTATGATTCTGAAAAATCAGAATAATTTTAGGTTTGTTTCACCTCACTGCCGGGACTCTTCAGTCATTTAAAGCTTTACTGGTTTTACATGCTGATCATCCGCAACGACGGCTGATTTAGCCGTCGCCACAGCATCTCATTGACTACAAGCCAGCGTCTTTACCCTTTTCTGCACAGACAGACTTCCTATTGACGTCTCTGTCTTCTTGTTCTGGTTCGTTTGTAACACTTGTGCCGTTTCATTGACTCGTGCGACCCTTTGTGTTGTTCACGCTGAAATACCGACGCAGGCCAACTGCTGCTCTCTCCTACGTCCAGGGTCTACCATTTCAGCAAGAGACATGCAATGGAGGACTGCCGGCAGCAGGTTGCGCTGTCCCAGGGACTGAGAGCCAAGCTGGAGGTTCAGAGGCTTCTTCTCAAGGATAAACTGGACCAGCTGGGCTCCGATGAACCTCCGCCTGCACTGAGGCTGAGCTCAGACTCCGTCTCACTTTCATCCAACTCAAGCAATGTATGTTTTCTCTGCCCGGGTCTGCTCCAAATACCTCCATCATTAGTCAAAACTTTCATTTTGGACCAAAGGCCTTTTGTTAGTAAACGGTGGCCCGTAACACGGTGAACCTGGTACACCTGCTGACATTAGCATATAGCTCTACGCCTATTTAAAAGTCACCAATTGTGTCAGAATACTCGCATCCAACCCACGTGACCTCACACGTTGTCCTGTGCTGCTGTTATTCATTTAGCATATCATTGAGTGGTAAACTGGCCCATAATCAATTGTTTGCCACTAAATGACTCTTAATAGCTGGATCTTAAAAACAGATGTCATACAAGTGAATAGCCTTGAGAGTCTTTTATGTGATTGTAACTGTTAATCATTATTTTGACTGACCACAAGGATGCGCTCTGGATCTTTTCTTTTTTCAGCACAGCCCCAACCCAACTCCCTCCAAAGTCTTCATGACCGGGGTCATTAACAATCTGAGTGGCATGTTTAAACCCAAATATGAGGTAGGCTAAAATAACAATCAATTACCAATGGTCACACAGACTAGTGAAAGAGCGTATGAGTGGGCTTTTTGGCAGTGGTTTGTGCACAGTGAAGAATTTCTCAGAATATTGTCAAAGGACATTTTAAAAGGAAGGACACCTGAAGCAGTTGAAAGACACTCTGCGTCTCTTTCTTCCACCTGCCTGCTCTTAACTTCGACTGCAGTGTGTATTTGCACACTCAAACCTACTACCACGCCATCAATCACTTCCCCGTGCTTTGGAGCAAGTGTATTCACCGCTGGGTACATGATTTTTCTTTCGGGTGTTGTGCGCCTGAAAGTACATTTTTGTAAATGCTATTTTTGTAAAATACTTGTTCCTCCCCAACCCTTTGACCTCCTCAGAGGCATGGAATGTGGTACAGTTAGACCTTTGTGTGTTACAGACTCTCCATTGAAGTGTCTCCACATGTTCTCTGCGCCCTCCAAGTCGTCCACCATCACTTTGAATTGATTCATCATTCATATCAGCTTTTAAGATCCTGCTGTTGTCTCCTCCTGCCCCCAGGTGCCGCCGGCCCTCAACATGGTGCAGGAGGTGGATCGTCCTCTTGGGCAGCAGGACTGGTACCACGGAGCCATTCCCAGACTGGAGGTCCAACAGCTGCTGACGAATGACGGGGACTTCTTAGTGAGGAAGAGTCAAGAGAAACAGGGTTATGTGCTCTCTGTGCAGTGGGACGGCTCCTGCAAGCATTTTCTCATTCAGGACACGGATGTGAGTTGATCAATAGAATACGAGAGTCGTAGACGTGCATGTTACAGTAGACATCATGTGTTCCTCTGTGTGTTACATCATATATTATATTTTTAACATGCATGCAAATGTTGAATAACACTGATTATGAAACCAAACATACATTTTTTTTACTGTTTCCTTCTCCAGTCCAAGAGACGACTAAATTTGCCATTTGGTCGATTTCTGTAAGGGATTTTTTCTTCTTCTGCAGAATCGGTATCGTTTAGATGGAGAAAGCTTCCGCAGTATCCCGCTGCTGATCAGTCATCTGCTGTCCTCACAACAACACATCACCAAGAAGTCTGACATTGTGCTGAAGAGACTCGTTCTGAAGGTACTGCCGGAAGATAGCGTCTACAGAGTCTCTTCCCTTTTACTATTATCTCATCTCTTATCACTCATTTTTAACCCCATTAGGACAAGTGGGTCTTGGAGCATGATGAAATTATCTTGGGACCGCTAATTGGACGAGTAGGTAAACTTTACATCTCTAGGCAAAAATTTAGAAGTGAATTGTGAAAAACACAACTACTGTTTTGATGTATTATTTCATGTAACACAACAAAAATAAGTTTAACTGTGAGTTCATGTGTTTGTCTGAGTTTTGTATTTAATCATGTAAATGAACGCAACAAGAGACCAGATCGTAATAATTGGTTTGATCAATCAATATGGTTGCCACTTTAAATGATCATTTCATCAAACATGTTTTAAATCAATAGTTACTTTATCTGCACATGAACTTTGACAGTTTTAATATTTGTTCAACCGCTTCGCTTCTTGCTGTCAACAGATAACATCTGAAAGAGATGTTGTTGCAAGTGAAGGCAAAGCTAACATGAGACTCCAGCAGTGTGAATTAGACAAATGAAGTCTGTCTTTTTAGTTGTCTTACTTTCACTCTGCTGCACAGCAGCCGTGTCATTGTCTTGTCAAGTACAAGATTTAGTTCCCCATCGCTCATGAAATCACTTAAAGAAGGGTTCTGTACACGGCTGGTATGAACAAGTACCAGAACAGTTACAGCGATCAATGCATCCTTAAATCCCCAGTTTTACTTGCCAAGTTGTCATAGTGTGAATGCTTTGATGTGGTTGGAGTTGAAAATGTTAACCTACCATGTAGTCATCCTCCATAAATCATCTTTGACAGTCAGGCCATACCCCTCTCCTCCACAGCCACTAATCTGCGAGTTAGTTTGACCCTCACTTGACCTTTGATCACCACATCAAAAACCTGTGCAAAACCTCCTTGCATCAGCCCAAGCATTTCCAAACTCCCTGTCAGATGCAGAGGAGCTCGTCCACGCCTTTTTCTCCTCCAGACTGGACTTCTGTAACTCAAGTATTACTGGGATCACTGGCAAGAATATCAAGAAACTGCAAAACATCCAAAAGAGCTCTGCCAGGATCCTGATATATGAGGACATAACACCAACCCTACACACACTGGCTCCCCTCAGTCTCATTCCGGATTGACTACAAAGTCATTTATATTTAATATATATTTAATGTCATTTACTCACCTGTAAATGACTGATAAAAGGACATGTACCTCCGTACCTGCAAGAACTAAATACTCCCCAAACCTCCACCCGCACCCACATATCTGCAAGCAGTTTGCTCCTCCAGGTGCCCAACACCAAGCGCCACGAGAAATCCAAGACTCTCCCCGACCACCGAAGGGCCGCAGTCACTGGACGCTTTTAAAACGGACCTAAAAACCTTCTTATTCAGGAAGGCGTGTTTTTACCCTTTGTTAAGTTTCCCTATCTTATAGTTTTTACTTTGTTTTAAATGTTTCACTGGCTCTGTGGCTCTCTGAGATCTATTGATGACGGGTGTGTTATAAATAAAATACATTATTATTATTATTTATCTAGTTAAATCAATGTGCAAAATGAATACAATTGTATTCAGTTTGTTCAGTTTATTCAAAACTGACTTTAGTTGTATCCCCTAGAAAATTATTGAAGAGACTGTAACTAATGCTGCTGTTCGTACTTCACAGGGTAACTTTGGAGAAGTGTACAGTGGTCGCTTATGCTCTGATAACACTCCTATAGCCGTAAAATCCTGTAAAGAGAACTTGGCCCCGGATCAAAAGAGTAAGTTCCTGATGGAAGCCAGGTTAGTACACACAAACACATTAACACACACACACACAGAAACACAAACGCACAAATACGCACCCCTTCTCTCTTATGTTGTCCAGGATCCTGAAGCAGTATGACCACCCAAACATTGTGAAGCTGATAGGAGTGTGCACTCAGAAACAGCCCATCTTCATCGTCATGGAGCTCGTTCAAGGTACATTTGAGCTGTACTTTAGAATTATTCCTTCACCGCTTTGTTTCTCCATCATCACGTCTTCTGTGTGTGTGTGTGTGTGTGTGTGTGTGTGTGTGTGTGTGTGTGTGTGTGTGTGTGTGTGTGTGTGTGCGCATATTTCCTAAGGTGGAGATTTTCTCTCTTTTTTACGGCATAAAGGAAACAGTCTGAAGCCTAAAATATTGGTCAGAATGACAGAAAATGTAGCATCCGGCATGGAGTTCCTGGAGAGCAAGAAGTGCATCCACAGGTTGGTTAATCAATAAATCAATTTGTACTATTATATTGTATTTTACACCTATACATATTTTAATTATTAAATCACAAACAAGGGACAAGTTGATCATTTTAACATTTAAAGCAGACGTGGCCCATTTAGGTGAAGAGAGCGAGAGCAGCAACAGGCGTCCCGGGCTTGGGCTGGTACATAAACGTTTGGGTTTTGAAAATACACAAAAAGACACAATAATATAAGAAAATATTATAATATTCAATGTGTTAGTTAAAAAACAACCTTGAATCAGTGCACAATTTCCTGTTTGTCTAAAAACTGATTGAGAGGTACCATGAATTAAACACGGAGAAAAAAAGTGTTAGACAAATGATGCCTCTAGTGAAATAACATCAGTCATAAAAGCACATGTTCACTTAGCATGAAGTAGGATGTTGCGTCTGCAAGAACAAGTGAGGAACAAGCTGTGTGCAGATATAAAGCCTTTACGATACGTGATAACAAAACAAACTACTTCCCCAATATTCATGACCTACAACTGTTCACCAATCTGAACTTCCCCTGCAGCTCTTTCTCACGTTTGGATGTAGCATTCAAACGATCGATTCAGAGCGAGGGATGAAACGTTTTCATGAATAACTGATGTCTGTTGTGCCTTGAAGAGGAAGCTGGAGACAAACTCTGGCTCACCTATACTCTTTTTTTTTCAATTGAATTAAAAAGACTGCACAATCATTATTTCTGCTGCTGATTACTTTCATTTGGCAGAAATGTTCATATAAATCAACGTACAATAAGTGCACTCAAACTCAAATGAAGCAAGAACTGTAGTTATTCCAAATAGTGTTGAGAACTTTTATTACATTAAAAGTGAGAGCAAACGTCTTCAGTTTGGGTTTCGTACGCAGAAAAGACAAAGCAGTACAAGGATGCCAAATTGCCTTAAGTACTTATTTTTGATTTTTTTAAAAGCACGTTTTATTTATGTAATCTACGAACACATAACATGTGCTTGCAACACATTTATCAAAGAGAAAATGTGTAAAAGCTCATATCAAAATTATGTTCTGAAAATATTAAAAATAGGATTGAGGTTTTGACCCCTCACAGGACGTCTGTGTCCCCAGCGGGGACAGATCAGATCACAGCAGGCTGGTAGCTGCCCGTCCTGCAACGCTGCATTTTCTATTTCCTCATGCAGAGCGTGAATCTTTCGTGTCATTTTTGTGTCTCCTTTTGCACCTGTCTATGAGCCCCCTGTGTTCATCGTTGTCTTTTTGAAAGGGACCTGGCGGCAAGGAACTGTCTGGTCGCAGAGCACAACGTGCTGAAGATCAGCGACTTTGGGATGTCCCGTCAGCAGGACGATGGCGTCTACTCTACAGAGGGCGGCCTCAGGCAGATTCCTGTCAAATGGACGGCTCCTGAGGCCCTGAACTACGGTAGGCTGCAGCGGTGTCTGACCTGCAGTCGCTACCAACACATCTGTTCCTCTGTGCCAGTAGTTGAAAAAGGTGCCTGTGGTGCCCTCTGCTGGTGTTTTAGGCCGCTTCACTACAGAGAGCGACGTGTGGAGCTTCGGAGTCTTACTGTGGGAGACCTTCTCCATGGGAATGACGCCCTACATGAGCATGACCAACCAACAGACACGAGACAACGTGGAGAGAGGTAAAAATGAGCTAAATTAAGAAAATGTCTATTTTATTATTATTGTTGTCTTTATTAAAAATGGCTTCTCCGTTGGGTCAAAATGTGGCACTGATGTATTTTCTGTATTCCACGTATACAGTGTTCTGAGATGTCTCATTGCCTGTTTTGATTGTGTCAGGATACCGGATGCCCGCTCCGCACAGCTGCCCCGTGGAAATCTCCAGGATTATGAACAGCTGCTGGCAATACGACCCCAAAAATAGACCTTCTTTCAAGAAGCTTAGGGCTGAGCTCACTGCCATATATAACAAAATAACATGAGACGAGCCTGCTGGTTGGACATGTGATGCAGACTAAGTTAACTTTCTTCTGTTAGTTTCATTTGTTTTGTAATAATGAATGTCCATTTTCTCTTTATAAAATATGTTAGTCCACTCGGAACCAAAAGAAACACAGCCCCTTTTTGTGTGCCATTAAACTTTTCAAATGTATATTCAAGGACAGATTTAAAAAATCAGTAAACCAGTTGATGTCAGCAACCTCGTTTCTTCCCTTATTGCGATGTGTCTCTTTTCTCTCTTCTTAAAACAGAAACTTGTCGAACCCCAAATTACTGTGTTGTTTCTTATTACCATATCAGTTGAAATGTAACGTCTTTGTGGTCTCCATCACAGAAACCAAACAGGTTTCATTTGAAACATCCAAGATTCTGTCAGCACAGACGTTGGTCAACAAGGTTCCCATTAGCATCGCCATGGGGGCCGTTTGTGTCTACTTGTGTTGCCTGTCTCAAACTGCAGATCCCCCTCTCCGAGATTTCAGTTCTGTTACTTAAAAGGAAGCATTGCGGTGTAACTTAACTGCCTGTGATTACACAGAACTATCTAAAATAAAAGGAGGGTTCTATTTGAGCTAACTTACGCTGCACATTGTGTTGACTTAGAGATGATTTAATCAATATTTTCGATCACATCCCCTTTTCTCACTTCCCACCAAAACAACTGCCAAAGTACTCAAAAACGCTTCAGGAGCGACAAAACTTCAAACTAAATTTCTGTCCACATGCCAAACGTTTGTCTTGTGACTTGTCAGTCGACTTTGTGTCACTCAGACTCGTACCTAAACCGGGCTAAGTGGTTTGTGGCTTGACTTGCTGTCAAGACAGAAATAAATTTAGATGCTGAGCACCGGGTGGAATTTTACGTCCCGGCCTCGTCCGAATTAAAGTCATAAAAGCGTCACAGTTGAGCTCACGACCACTGAGCAGGCGTCGGTAATTGACGTGTTGGAAGTGAGAGTGTTTTTTTTCTGGGACCAAGGTAAAAAAAAAACATTCAAGTCGAAATAATGTAGGAACAGAAGTAAAGGAGGAAAAAAAGTGAGTAAAGTTTAATTTGTGAAGTGAAAGAGTTTTGGTTTGTCATTCTAATTATTTTATGTTTATTTGTCACAAATGTTTTTAAAAGCGACACCAAACTGGTGGAGAAAGACAATTGAATTCAGCAGACAAATCATTTCTTGAAAACAGAAGAAAATCTGTGACCGTTTCAAAGCATGTTTTTCAGTGTTTGTTTGGGAGGATTTTTCCTCGGAGGATTGTGTCCAACTTTGGAAATGTACTTATTTGGGAAGATTTATTAAGCTGTATTTACAAGCAGTGGAGGGTGTGTGTGTGTCCTTTTTGATCCAGCCTGTATTACTTTAAAAGGATCTCGTTGTTATTATGGGTTGCTGTGAACAGTTGGCATGTTGACACTAAATAGTCATGGATTTCATGGATTTTCTTGTCCAACTTTGTTGTTGAATGACAGTAGATGGACCTTTAACTGTGGAATTCAGTTCACAGCACAGAACGGTGAAAACACCCTTTTGGCAGCTTAATCCCCTAAACCGTCTGCATTTTCGCCCTTCGTCCATAAAGCCTCTTTGAAAATGGCGTCTGGAGAAGCTGAATCTTCCACAGGTTGTGGTGCGGACAAAGAAAACTATTATAAAGAATTGCAGGAATTAAGTCTTGAAGTCACAAAATGCACAGACTATTTTGCATTGTTTTGATTTTTGCAATGTTATGTAGATAAAATTGCTTTTATTTGGAAGTGAAAAGAGCTATCAAAGGCAACTCTGACATTCTTAACGTGGCCTGATGCCGGGGGAGTAAATGTATTATTGGATAAGAGTTTAATAGCAATAATGTGCAAGGCAGCAAGGTTTATGTCCTTACGGCATTGTCTCTCAGACTGTGGGGTGGAACCTCTAGTGGGTTGCAGTGGTATTACAGGGGGGGACGCGCATGGGGAAATTCAGTTTTTTAACCATCTTAAGAACTCAACTTGTTTCAGCGGGATGAGTGACGAGAGCCACACCTCACTTTGGCAAAATCATCTGAGAAAATAATTTACTAAGAGCCTTACTGACTGCTCGTTGGCATATCGATATCACGTAATTAAGACTATTAGCACATCATTAAGACTAACTCAGGAAACCGTGTTGTCTGGATTTTTGTACATATATAAATTGGTAATGCGAACTTTGAAAGATCAGGATCTTTGCCCTGAGAATTTGCATGTTTTTATTCTCTGTACGATTTTTTCAAAATGAACTTTTATTCTTTTATTTCAAGAACTTTATTGAGAACTTTTGGCGGTTGCCTCTTTCAAAACAGATCCAAGCTCAACATTGAGAATGAATTGAGAGTGACTGTATCAAGTCTGCAACCCTGTTTGGAAAAGATTCCTAGTGGAAAACACGCTCATTGCAGCCACTAATTAGATACACGTCTGCACTTTTTTCACAACATTTTATGCAATAAAATTACTTAATTTTACTTAATAAACACTTACAAATTTGTGGAGCCTGAACATCCTTGTTTCCTCCAAAGTGGATTGTGACATGCTGAATGCTTAGAGTTTGGCAAATGGGTTGGTCTTATCTATCTTGATCAATAGAAAAACTGAACGTAATCGGATTCTTTTTAGATAATATTGTCTCAGGGAAGCATAGGTGAATAAAAATGTTCCAACCATAGATCCTCGTCGACCCCTGTAATTAACTTCTAATTATTCTAATTATATCTAAAAATTCAAAGTCAGTCAAAGTGCCTGAGAGCTGGAGGTGCAACTTGCCTTCAAAATAAAAGTTTATTTGAAGATATATTTCTGCTCTTTCACTCAAATATACATATAATTATATTATCATTTTTATAATTCAAGTAAGGCTTCTTAAGTAATTCGTGCGAATTTTGCAGGCAATAATGCTAATAGTAAAGAAAATGCATTCAATTCCAGTTTTATGACCAGATGTTCATGTCTATCTCATCAAAAAAATGCCACCTTGACCAAACTTCCCCTTTGTAATGAGAAGATATTAAATATCTGCCATTATTAATTATCACATCTTCCCGGGATTGTTATTGACCCTGTTGTCGAACAATCCTCAGAGATCTAAATGTAACTAGTATTTACTTTGTTGTTGTAAGTTAACAATTTGACTCTTTCAAGCCACTAACAAATTCTACCTCACTACATTTCAGAGAAACATGACATTTTTTGACTTTTTTCCACTACTTCTAAAAAGTTTTGTGATTTATAAATTTGACTTAACTAATGTATACAATTTTTATAACAGCAATTCATGTTCATTATCTATAATATTTGTATGAATATTTAGTAATTATTTATTTGGTTTAGCTCTTAAATTGATGACTGGATCAGACATGTTTGAAAATCAACAGTTTTACTTTGAGGACTTGATGCTGTTACCTGGATCTCAACCTCTTCGACTCCTTTTTCTCGTTGGTTAACGGGTCAAGCAAACAAAGCATTTGCAAGTAAGCCAATGAGATATTGAGTATTTTTAACTCCATGGACACACCAAACAAGTGGCTGTGATTTTTCATTTTGAGGAACAACACACCTGTTGCACCCGAGAATCTAAGGAACAAAACCGGTCCAGAAGCAACTTCCAACAGGAATATCGTGTACAAATGTATGAGCGCTTCACACCGTTTGAAAAAGTTTTTGCTGCTATCTGCACTAATCCGTTTTAAAATACTCCAAACACAACTCCAACAATTTATAATGTATAATATGCAAATTATTCCAGAAGATTTGCGTACGGCGGTGCTATCGCATAATGAGTCATAATTTAGTTAAGGGTTTGGGTTGATTAATAGGCTTGAGTCACTAAAATAAATCTGGAGGTGGGTCCACCTCCTGATCTAGAAATAATAATTAAGATCAGTCCAAAGACGGTCATTCAATGAAAAAAAGAAATTTGACAGTGTCAAGAGAACATCAGACCATCAAAACCTAACCCTAAACCTTGAGTAATGGCTGCAACAAGGCAAGTGACATTGTTAAGTGACACTAACGTGTCTCCTCAAAGCATCTGTGTGGGTGTGTAATGTCATAAAGAAGTGGCCTTGAAAAGAGAATCTCATTGTACCTCTTTGTAGAAGCCGATCACGAGTCTTTCACTCTTTATTGTTGACTCAACCGTGCTGGAAGATTTTCTTTCCAGTTGTTCAAGCCTAATGTGAAATGGATTAGTGTCATTATCACGGATAATCCTTTTCATGTTACAGTGATGAGACATTTCGGAGATACATCAATTTGTATCAAGTTAATCCTACTGAGAATGTAGACATGAGGTTTCTCAGTGCAAAGGTGCTCAACTGTCAAACTGAATTGCTTCTCAGGTTTACCTTATGAACCTGTCAATCACAACCAACTTATATATGAACAAAACAAGTAGAAATCTAGACATCCCAGTTTCCTGAGTGAGTCTCTATTTATTTGACAATGTTATGCCAACAAACACTCAGTGAGGCCCTCAGTAAACTAAAAGTATTTCCTCAGATGATATTGCCAAGTGAGGTGTGGCTCTCGTCAGTCATCACCCATCCCGCTGAGGCAAGTTGAGTACTCAAGAGGGTTTGTAATTTTAACCACCTTACTGGTCCAACATGTTCTGTAGCTATTAGTTGTCACCTGATGTCTAGGTGTGCGTGTGTGTCTTTGATTCCATGGTAACAAATCATGAATCTGAGACATTAGAATGAATAGACCTAAGAAACCTACATGCAATTAGCCGCTCCAGTTCTGCATTGAGTTGATAGTTGATAGTTGTTTAAAAGTAATTCAATCCATCTATTACTTAATTTATGTCTCGATCTGGATACTGACTGCCGGTTCCCATTTTACTTATATACGCATGGTCTTTTAGCATTTGTTGATCAGTCATGTTACTTTTGAAAGGCCATTTCTTTCTGAAAACAATATATTATCCTGTGGATACAAAGTTACTAAGAGCTCTAAAATGGAAAACAACACACAACTAAAGGACAGAACAGCAAAAACAATAAATACAATAATAACACAATGCATTAGAATAATGTTAATCCAAGTGTCTTCTAGTTTTACACAACATTCACTGAGTTTTGGGGAAGTTTACTGGGGTCTGGGGTCTTATTTGTATTTCCATTATTTAATTTCACAACTTTCTTTCATTATAATGTGTGCAGGAAATGAGCCATTTGAAAAACTACAGCAGGTCCAACAACGATCTTTGAGATTGTCACAACTGCTGCATAATACCACTTAGTAAATCTACATCTCATATGTTTGTATAGTTGCTGTATTTGCAGACAAAATATGTCCATTGGGGAAACTACAGGATTTCCTACACATGCGTCATGCATCAGTTTATCCAAACGGACTCTGCAGACCCAGAAAAACAAGAATCAAGGAAGTACAACTGTTTCAAGAAAGCCAAACTACAAAGTGCTATAATTAAGTGCCAAGTGTAGTCGGCAGAAGTGTGTTTGTAGTTTGCGTTGATTTGATTTGATCAAAAGCCCTGAAGTCAATATATTTGAAATGGTAATTCATGTTTTCTATTGTTTTCATTAAACTGAAAATCAATTGTGGAGAAAATAATTCCAAAGAATTACTTCAGTAAAACATAAAAGAAAATACATGACAAATATGTACAGAACGTTATAAAAACAAAATCACATATTCGTAAAACCTGATTTAATGTAAAGTTGTGGATCACCTGTTAATAAAAAGAGGAAAATGGCCAGTGGTGTAGTCACTTGGGTCCACTGTTTCTTGAAAACACCTGTGTGGCTAATTGAAGCATTTAAAGCAAATTGCATGTTCCTGAACTTGGAATCTCATGACCGACCGCGTGAGTAACAAAGAACAATGACACACACACCACGTGTGTGTCACCTGCAGATCACACGCGGTGGTTTGGGGTTATCTGAGTGTCAGATTGTGCAAAACATTTGTCTGTCTCCAAGAGTCAGCTGACTGCCTCGTGATTACATATCAGTTCAGCATCTGGTTGCCTGTGCTGATATGTTCTAGTTTGGAAATCCTTTCCTGTTAGTCACACTCCTTTGGCGGCTCCCTACAGATTTATGTCAGGTGCATAAACACTCGTCAAATAATTGTTTCTTAAACTGTGTTGTGGTGATTAGTTTCACATGACTGTATCTACAGAGGCCCATTTCAACATTGTGCTGCACATAAAATGATATATGTGATAACATAACATGATCATTTTGTTGTGTGGGGTGAGAAAGCCTTCTTTGGGAATAAAACGTTGTTTATGTTTAAACATAACGTAATTCTTAGATTTTATATTAATGATATAAAGTAGCATGCTTACTAAGGATCAGAAGCCATTTATTGCCACATATGTTACACAAAGAGGAATTTGACATGGTGAAATATAATAATAACATTTAAAAATGAATAAAGTAAAATAAGATACAATTACGCAAGCAAGAACTAACAATATAAACAGATAAGTACGTTAATGCTGAATAATGAACAATGAATGACAAAGGAAAAGTTATGAAGTGTGAATAGATTACGTGCCCTGATCAGTGTGTCCCCAACCTGAGGATTGACAGCTGCTCATAATCTTACTTGGGGCATCGTTCTAGGCATCGGTGCAGCCAGACACAAGCATACCACGACATGTGACAGGAAACATCGCTGAAATGCCTCCAACGGATAAGATCTTCAACCGCTAAGTCCGTCTGTCACATGTTTAACCTCCAGGGCTAAAGCGTTATTACACGGCATTGCACATAATAAGTTTAACGATCAACATTTTAACTGCCTCCAACTCCTTCATGAAAGGGTGTTTTTTTCTGTACACACATTCTTCCCGAGAAGACAAAACCTCCCGATCACTCACCTGTTGACGTGTCTCGTGATTGAACAGCACTCTCCCCTAAATGGCACCCGGCGGCCTCGCTCAGTGTCTTTTCTTATATGTATCATAAAAAGAAACAATCGTGCACATTGGGCGGCAGGGATTAAACCGCTTGGTTTAGCATGACCAATTGTTTGTGGTGGGTAATGTTAGCTCCGCTTAAATCAACCATCTCGTAGTCAGGGACCCACAGAAGGCTCACAAGGTAAATCTGAATTGGAAAAGTTCATTTTCAGAAGAACAAATTCTATATATATAAAACCCCCCACAAATGGTTAAAATAAATAAGGCAAATATCCCTTTTTGGTCAAACTGGTAACATCAGGTGGCCTTGTATAACTAGATTAGGGTTAGGTTTTTATTACTGGCCTACAAGCACAAACTCAAATAAAAAATTTTTGGTTTTATTCCGCAGAGTAAATGTTTTTTGGTCACTGGTGTTCTGGACTGTTACCGGTTCAATTAATTACTAGGACATCTGCGATTAAACTAGACAAGACAATGCAGTACAATTAATACAATGCCAACTTTCTTAAAACACAAGACCATAATGAGGTGTTACTGAATCCCCATATTTCAGCTAATGGAGAAGTAGCCTGACAAACCAGTTCAACCCCACATCAAACTAACAAACAAATGTCTCCGCCGTTCCGTCAGAATTAAAAAGATACTTCTTCTATCATAATTAATTAATTAATTGCTTCTTCAAAAATGAGCAATGTGTTGTACATGTAATGTAATGTATTAACCGCTAAGCGAGCATAAACTCTTGATGGAAGTAAAGTGGAAAGATGTTCTTTAATATAAATAAAATGTCTATAAATGACCACCGTTTCTAAACCTGCTTGCATTCCCTGTGTTTCTTACACCTTAAAGAAAGGGTGATATTTAATACTGGGTAAATTAATGACTAAAATAATGTGCAAAACCCAGGGATTAATCAATTTTTTTCAATTACATACTAATACAATAAACCACGAAACCCAATTTTTTAAAGCAAAACTGCAGTAGATGATGCAAATCAACGTCTGACTCTCGAGCGCATGCTGTAATGTTATCAAAGAAGAAAATCTAGTCAGTGATACGTATTGAGTCGGGATAAAAGCAGCCAGCTGGAATGTTCCTCGTGTTGCAAAGAGTCATGAGTCAGATCTTTAAACAGGAATCTCTTCTGCTAGATTGGCATCACGTTTGGAGAGAAACAACCAGAACCCAAAGTACAGGTAAACAGGAGCAGAACACAGATGCACAAGTTGTTTGCAAAGTGTAGAACTGAGTCTCTATTTGGTACAGATTTGTTTTTATGGACCAACACCCATTTGGGGTCATTCTATTTATTTTCTCTCCCTGGCTAATATCATCTCATTTGCTCTTCTCTTGATGGCGTTTGACTAAATAATAAAGATGAGAGTAGAGTATGTGTGATTTATATCTTCTCATCCTACAGAATTCACCACACATTGGATCCTTAAACACGGTCGGTTAGCCTCTGTCTCAATCTGTCAAATGTTATAACGAAGTCTAAATATGTTGACAGAAAAAAACAATTTCCCCAGTTTTCCGATTCCTGTTAACACACGGGCCGCGTCATCTGATCATGTTCAGATACAAACCATCCACATCACAACTTTGGTGATGATGTGCAACGTACATTTGGGTATTCTGCTATGCGTCATTTTTAAAAAACATTAACAATTACTTAATTTCCTGCTGACCTGTTTATTAGAATGATTGCTTCTTTGGCTGCAGGAAGACAAGGAGGCAGGTACAGTAGGGAGTGGTTTAGCTGCTAAGGTGTGTCCACCCCCTGTATGTGAGTACTGAACAGGAGCACACCCCCTTCGAAGGACCATCTGCATGTATATATGTATATATATGCCTACTAAGAAGCTGCTGGAAGCCACAGCGGAGACGGGCCCTGCAAGCAGTGATCGCAGCATCATTCCAAGACCGTTCTCAACATGGGGAACTGTGCAGATTGCTTGAGAGGTTTTTTCTGCCCGCCAAAGAACACCAACATCCGTATTAGTCTGCCGGCTGTCTGCTTCGTATGGCAGATTGCAATGATCGTACTGTTTGGCGTTTTCATCCGGTACGATGCAGAATCAGACATACGACTGTGGCTACAGCTCAAACATACTAACAACATCACCAGCGACATCGAGAATGACTTCTACTTCAGATACCCCAGTAAGTACAAACACTGACAGCGTGTGAAGAACTGTACTCTTTCAACAACTTGTTGAACATTTAAATGTAGGTGGGATTTCTATGATCTTGTGTCAGCGATGCTGGCAATGCACCAACAATTTGTAATTTATTGATCTATAAATCAGCACCTTGCAGTTGCAACCCCGTTTAAGACGGTTGTAGCCATTTTACTCCAAAGCTTCTGTAGTTGTCTTTGGTTTGGGTACACTGATGCATTGACATGTCAGAGCTCATAATGAGTTATTATATAAGGAAGCTGTTTTTTTTTGTGATCGTGCACAAGGCAAACTTAAAAAGCAACAACAAACTACTGTTACAAAAGCTGAAGAGTTCCTCTCCTCTCCCTGTCCGTACATGTCATTCTCCTCAGCTTACTTTTGACTTTATGGCAATCTAGCGCCTGTATTTCCAGTATGTTGTAATTTTGGCATGAAGTTCTCCATCTGCAAAGATATACAAAAGACAGTAATCATCCAAAACAGAGTGAGTGGTTGAGTGGGTTGAGTGGGTATATGCAACCAAATGAGTTTTGGTCTTGGAAAAATAAAGCTAAACTTATGAAAATTATTCGTTCAAATGTAATTTGGAATAAAATATTTATTTTCATCCTTCACTTTTTTACCTTTTTAAATAGGTGTTAATTAAATGTTATTTTTTCAGCTTCAGATCGTACTTTTTCACTTCCAGACTTTTGGCCCTGATCTACGTTTCTAAAGATAAGCCCCCCTCGTTGGACTGGTGTGGTTGCTCATTCATTGCAGCGAAAGCTCTATGTGCTAAAAGCTTTATGACTTTGATGAGTATGAGCCCTTCCTAGATCAGACAGCTCATCTCCTGATTTAAACCACACCAAGAATGCAGAGAGGCTCACACACACACACGCACACACACACATTTTCATTTGTACTAACAGGCTAAACACAGACCCATCTGGTACAACTGGTCTGGCTAATGTTGGAAAAATACCACAAGCCACAGGGTTCACCTTGTTTAGGCTGCTCCAAGTAGCCACAGTAAAAAAAAAATGCACGGAGGGGGGTGAGGGGGTGATAAAGGTTGAATGGGGGTTTATGAGGGTAACGGCACACATTCAGAAGAATGTATGAAGAACAAAAGAAAAGATCTCGAGTGTTAAGTTCAAACCATGCAACCAGTCAGGCAGAGGACTCGTCTTCATCAGATACAGGTCGGGCAAGGTCAGGTCAATTAAAGATGCTCTTTGGAACAAGCTGCCGGATGACACATGTCCAAATGTGTGTGTGTGCAAGTGTTTCTGTTTGATTGTTTATTACATTTTCAGGTTATGTTTATTTTGGGTGGAGCAGACTGGCATGCATGCTATGTGGAAGTGCAAAACTTCAGAGATTCAAGTGACATTGTTGAACGGTACAATCGTGCATCGTGTATCGCTCTCATTCTGCCAATCCCGTGAATGTGGTGCATAGGAAGTGTGGAAGCTGTCACTCATGACTACACGCCCCCTCCTCTTTCATTAAACAAAGTGTGTCCATCCTCCTCTCTCCAGGCTTCCAGGATGTCCACGTCATGATCTTTGTTGGATTCGGTTTCCTCATGACCTTCCTGAAACGCTACAGCTTCGGCGGTGTGGGCTTCAACTTCCTGATCGGTGCCTTTGGTCTGCAGTGGGCTCTTCTCATGCAAGGCTGGTTCCACGCGCTGGACCCCACCACCGGAAAGATCTCCATTGGAGTAGAAGGGTAGGTCTTTCAAACTAACATTTAAACTGGACAGATGCAGGTATGTGGACAGGTGGGTCATGTCAGTCAGTAATGAAAACAAACCCATTTTTAAACCCGACAAGAATCAAGATCTACAAAACGCATCAAAACTGGTTTCATTTACGAAGGTTCTTTCGTCACAGCTTTCACCGTATCAGAACCTTTTTGTAGCATCCTTGAGACAAAGCATTCCTGTCATGGCACGGTCATGTACAGTAAAAATTCAGATTCGATTGTTTGATTGTCAAAATTTCAACTCACTCTGACCTTTTTCTGTTGTTGGTATTTTCCTTTTTTCCCCGACAGTCTGATCAACGCTGACTTTTGCGTTGCCGCCTCTCTGATCGCCTACGGCGCCCTGCTGGGCAAAGTGAGCCCCGTCCAGCTGATGGTTGTCACCTTGTTTGGCGTCACACTGTTTGCTGTGGAGGAATACATAATCCTCAACCTCCTTCATGTGAGCCTTACAAACGCAATCATCCCACGGGCAAGCTTCATCATCCTTCAACGAGGGAGAACATTCACTCTCTAATGTTGCGATTTCTTTTTTGTGCTTCTTCTTCTCACAGTGCCGGGATGCCGGTGGCTCCATGGTCATTCACTGCTTCGGAGGGTACTACGGTTTGACCATCTCCTGGATTCTCTACCGACCAAAGCTCCACCAAAGCAAACGCCTCAATGGATCCGTCTACCACTCTGACGTATTTGCTATGATTGGTAAAGGATTTTTTCAGGACGTACTGTAGTTCTTTTGGAACATGTATAGTGTTTTACATTCATCCTTGTGAATATATTACTCAGACTGTGGGTTTGAATGACCTTCTCCTACCTCACAGGCACACTGTTCCTGTGGATGTTCTGGCCAAGTTTCAACTCGGCCATCACAGACCACGGCTCTGGACAGCACAGAACCGCCATCAACACCTACATCGCCCTCGCCTCCTCTGTGCTCACCACCGTGGCCATCTCCAGCGCGTCTGAGAAGAGAGGAAAGCTGGACATGGTAATGCTGGTTCACTGAAAAGCAACAGATCTGCGACCGGACGTATATGCATTCCTCGTGACTGACATGCCGTTTTACCTGACAGGTGCACATCCAGAATGCCACTCTGGCAGGTGGTGTTGCCATGGGAACCGCAGCGGAGTTCATGATCACTCCTTACGGTGCGCTCATCGTGGGTTTCTGCACAGGAATCATCTCCACCTTTGGCTACCTGTTTGTCTCGGTAAGCTGCCAGTCTTTCACTCTATAATTTTTATTTCTGACGGAACTGTTGAAGTCTGTGCTGTAGCTGAGATGGACAATTGAAGCCGCATGGAAAAAAGGAAGTTAGCTGAAAAGTAGAACTAAAATGGAACCGGTTGTTGTTTGTATAACGGTAAAATAATAGGATTATAAAAGGTGATGACAGATTTATGGAGCAGGCACCAGGAAGGCTACTTTCCAAATGAGATACGACACACTTCAAAAGTTAGCAGGTGCTGATGACTCTCGGCTTGACATGGAATTTTGAGCTTTAATAACCTAAAAAGTTACACAGAAACTAAACGTAATGAGGTTTTAAAAGCGGGTTATGTTACATGCATTATATTTGAGAGGATTTCCAAATGCATTTGGTCCACGATGTGGGGACATACGCTTACTCATCAGTGATTAATGTATGATTGTTTTCCTCATTCTCAGCCCTTCATGGAGAAATACCTGAAAATCCAGGATACGTGTGGTGTTCACAATCTGCACGCTTTGCCCGGGATGCTCGGAGGCTTCATAGGGGCCATTGTTGCTGCTGCCGCCACTGAAGAGGTCTACAGCAGGGAGGGGTGAGTGACGGGCACACACAGACACGCACAAATAACCAGACATCTTTGTTGACTCAAACCACTAACTGACGCGGAAACACACACCCAGATATCAGGCATAGTTTTCAGCTGATCGAGCAGATTGAGCACCGATTTGCAGGATAACAAAGTTTATTTTTCCCTCCAGGTTGATCGAGACGTTTGACTTTGAAGGCGAATTTGCAGACAGAACGGTAGGAACCCAGGGAGGCTTCCAGGCGGCCGGCGTCTGTGTGGCTATTGCATTCGCAGTCGTTGGTGGAGCGGTTGTTGGTGAGTATATAAAATGTGTTGATTATGTTAAAGTAGCCAGAAGAATGATGACTTATATATTTCTAGACCACTTCAAACTTGTTGTTCAAACAGCCCTGTTTCACTAAAGTGCTTGTTTATCAGCACAGGAACAGCCAATGACTAAATTATATTATCTGAAGTGCAAAATAGATTTTAAGTACTTACTTAAAAGAACTTCATAAGAAAAATGGGAACGTCTAAGTGCTTTTTCCCCTCTGTTTAAAGGTCTCATTCTGAGGTTGCCTATCTGGGGTGACCCCGCTGATGACAACTGCTTTGACGATGAAGTGTACTGGGAGGTAAGAGGGGCTTTCCTCCCACTAGATGGTGGTCTGCAATTTTTTAAGTCAAAAGACTGAAGTATGAAATGGCGTAAATGGATATCTGTCTGGCGATCTGACCTCATTCCTTGGTTTCAGGTTCCTGAGGATGAGGAGGGGATCCCTCCTGTTTTGGAGTACAACAATCACATGACACACAAACACCAAGACATGTAAGTTCACTCACACTAAGACGACAACATGCGGTCCTTATTCTCAGGAAATGCAATTTAACGTGATTTTCTTTTCTTTTTTTTCTAACAGATCCGAGTCAAACTTCTCTGTGGAACAAAGTTAGAAAATCGGTCAAATTGGTGAAACAATAATAGGAGCCATGTGCAGTTTTACAAAGAATGAAGAAGGTTCATGTTATGATGGCTGTAATTAGATTTTTCATGAATGGTTTAATTTTGAAGAATTTGAAATTACTTACATTTTTTTTTTGTTTTGGCAAAAACTTCAAATGATTTTCAGATGCTTAATAACTGTAAAATATCGAGTTCTGAATTAATTTGTCCTTGATGGGAGGTTGAAGACTGTTAATGCTGTGTAAGTTGATTATAATGCACAGAAGAACTGTGTTAGAAGAATCAGTTGTTGTACATTTTTATCCATAATAACCATAGAACCTTTAATAGCCTTTTAAAACTATTAGTGATGTCATTCATGTTTTTAATTCTATTTCTCAATAATGAAGACTGTAAGAATAATCAAAAGTATTTATGCAGCCAAATTAGACCATTTTGGAGTTTTTTGTCTTCTTTTAAGTGATGTATAGGTTTTTGTAAATTGTGTGTACATATGATGTAATCTTGTGTATTATTAATCTTGTGTCATAACTTGCTAGTTGTTATGGTGGAAGCTGTCAGTAAGTACTGTGATTATGATACAATTTCCAGCAGCTTGTTTGCTGTATTGTTGAGTTGGGCTACCCACACATATACACTATGTGTGATCTGCTTGTTGTCTAAATGTAGACATTCATAAATCAAAGGTAATTGGAATTAAAACCATAACCATATATCATTGTCTACACACGTTCTTTTCTTCAGCACCTCAACCTACAATACTGTCATTTAATTACTAACATATTTATGTTACAGATAATTCAACAATAGTTTCTTAGCTAATTTAAAAAAGCATTAATCCCATGAAAGTTACTTCACTTCAATTTCAACTATAAAGTTTAGTTTGATCATTTTCAGTAAGTTGAATGAAATGTAGCATCTTTTTAACTCACACATTCAGAGCTGCAGGGAAGTCTCCGGCTCTTTGGCAAAGAGAGTTCACTATGGCCACAGAAATGACTCAAAACGTTGTTTTCCTCAATGGGCCTTAAAGGCAAAAACTGGCGAGAACATATTCGTTGGCTTTTCCTTTTTTTACACCTGTTTCTGAAGTTTCAACCTCTCTGCCTTCCTCAACTGATCCTCCTCGCTCCTCTTTGACTCATCTGTAATGCAAGAGGACACGTCATATTTTTTCAGTTTCGAAAACATCTAATCCCTCTAATACAAGAGGATTATACCAAAACAAACTCATTCAACAGTCATGGGATGCCAGTTAGGGTGTGAAGCCCATTTAAACTGATGCAAATTTAGAGGCGAAAAAGAGCTGTGGAAATGTACATTGTTAGTAGAATGTAAAAGTTGGCACCAGAAATAAGGTAACTGTCCTACAAGGTTTCATGGCTGTTTCCTGCATGAAGCAAAAGACTGTTTTCTCTGTTATATGGAAGCAGGAAAGGGTGAACGAGTGAGTGCCCGATAAGCAGAAGTAGGCGGCTAAAAAAACATGATCACAGTTTGCAAGTGTGGCGCCAGAGTGAGCTGTGATCCTGTTGGTGCCATGGAAACAACAGTGACAAATATTCCACGCCCTGCAACAAGAACAGTGAATATTTCTCCACCCACCGGAGCAAATGCCATCTAAATTATTGCCTCAATCATGTGGAAAACCATCAAAATTGTGGCCAGCAGTGGCCAGCAGTGGCCAAAAATAGTTGAGAATCTTCTTTCTGTCATGGCAACCAGTAAAACGCCTCCTCTTGCTAAGAAACACTTCTTCTTGCTGCAAAAGGAGCAGCTGTTTAGTTTTTCAGCAATAGGGCTGCGGCAGGTCTGGAGAGCGTCTCAATGAACACGTATGATGGTGACCAGAACCGGTGTGAAACAGACGGCACTATCTGCTGTTGTTTAACCCTCCCTATCTGTACTGACTGCTGTGTAGCTCTGCTGGTTTAACTGCTCCTGCTTTACTCCGTTATTACCACAAGGTGGGAGCAAACAAACATTTGGGTTTTGTTAAACTGAAAAAAAGCCATGTAGTAATATAACAAGCTTTATTATTAATCATTATCATTATAGATACTTGCATGTATTGTTGATGGAAATACATACTATTATAGTTTTATTATTATTGAGTTTTTTTTTCTTATTTGTGTTGCTCTTTTTATATGATCAGTGTACAAAATAGTGCAGGAATCGTATGTGTGGTTTTAAGTGCAAGCAAACATCTCACCAATTTTGTATTTGTTCTCTTTTAGAACAATTCAATTCCTGTAGAAATTTGAGACAACAGGCATTGATTGAGAAGGTCACTGTCACTCAGGATAATTTGTGTTACTTCCATTTAGAAAAATATACTTTGTTGAGTTTAAGCTTTGTGAACAGTTGTGTAGCTCTTCTTATAACCATTTATTCTGAAAGCTGTTATTCTTCTTAGTGGGCTGGTTTGATGTCAAAAGAAATTCTCTAATGGCTAAAGAGAGAAGTTTCAGCCCTTTCTTAGCACTTGTGTCCTCAGCTATAAAGACGTTAATACATTGTGTGCGTCGGATACCGGAAGACATATTAGGATAAACCGTTAGGGTATTTAATTTCAGTGGTACACACTAATAATGAGCATTTTCGAGTGGGCGGACCAACGGAGAAAAAATGCACTTAAAACAACTATAATCTTCAGATTTACCTTTAACGACCACATTATGTATTTTGTTAAATACCCAGGAGATAATTGTACCTTTTTTAAGAGTAGATCTTCAATGAGGTTATATTGATGTCTGGATTTACCAAAACCTTTTCCATGTCGAGCTCAGGTCCTCGCCGGCTCGCTGGTCGCCTCCGGCCCTTCTGCTCCGTCATTGTGATGGTGATGAGGCCTGGACACGCCAGTCAAAGGTCATTTCCTGACCATTCACTGTGGCATTAATGAACTTCAAATACCCAGGCCGAACATGTGCTTTGTGCTGTTCTTGTCAGGTGGGCTGGTAGTAGAAGGATTATTGACCGAGGAGGTCTCTAAAAATGCCTGATGGGGTTAAAGGAAGTCGACTGAGGGGTCAACGCTGTGACGATGTTATAGCACAATGACACACAGCTTTCACAAGGTGTCACACCAGGCTGCAACATGCGGGTCTCTGAAGCGATGCCAATGTACCTTAAACCCAGATAGCCAACAGGGGGCGACTCCTCTGGACGGAACAAAACTGTTAGATTCCAATGTAGTTTTTACTTCGCGTGGACTATGACATTGTTAATTTTTCTGTTTCTAAAAGTTAATTGTAACAATTTTGGTCGACTTAAATTCTTTTATACAACTCCCCCCTCTCGTTGTCACTTGTGGATTTCTACTGATACTCAATGATTGAAAGTAAAGAAGGAAGTTGTGGTAGTTTTGTGACATCCCTTGCTGGATGGGAATTTCTAACATAGAGAAAAAAAAGCATTGAGAAGTTTGCTGGGATGTTTGATGACTCGGTCCAAGAGTCGAAAATGGTGGTACAGACGGGCCTCGCAGCCATCGGATGCTGAGGAGAGCGGACGCGGCTCCTCTTGTGAATCATATGACCCTGGGGAGCGTGTTTGTGAAACCACTTGCTCTGCCATTGTCCCCCTGGGACGGGCCTCCTTTGAAACGCTGCAGAAAGCCTGTAATCAGATTAAAGGTTGCTGGGAAAGGGAGGAGGGATTTTTGAGGAATTGCTGAGAGGTCGTGGAAGTTCTCCAATCAGTACCTGCCATTGAAGTGCAGAAGAGGGGCTAAATAACGCGGCAGGAGGGGAGGCGGGAGCCAAGCCGGAGGGACAAATTGGCCTGTTGTTGGAGGGGGATATTGAGGACAATGAGGGAGGGGAGTATAATCAGTGAGCACAGAGTGGGAGAGAAAAGGTGCAATGAGGAAAGGAGGAGACTGAAGAACTCCAAAGGCGGCGGCCTTGTCCCATCCTGCCCTGGCAATTATATCACCTTTGTGAGCTGATTGGAGCGGACTGCAGAGTCCATCTGGCCTTTTAGATGAAGGTAACAACCTACATTTTCTCACTGTCCTCACCAATCGGTCTCACCGGGCCACGCGGCAAGAGGGCGTTGGTCGAAAAAAACCTAACCTCATCAGCAACTGAAAAGCTGCTGCACTTCTAGAGGTCCACAACCCCTAATTTCCACATGACATTGACAATCGTTTCTCACATCTACTATTTCACTATTTCATTATGTTATATTGTTGGAAAAAACAAAACCCAACACACAGAAGATTCAATTTGTCGTTGATGCAGTTGATTGTGTAAAGAGAAACCCCTTCATGATATTAATCTTCCTCACTGTCCAGCGCTTGTAATGGCGCTGGCACATCACCAGACATCCCACCGAGTGGCGAGCACCACCAATCTCTGGAGCACCCTTTCTGTTATTGTGATCACTCATCAAACATCCATCACAACGGCCTTCACCAAAGGCCGATTTCTTTTTTAACTCACTTGACAAGAATCCATTTATTGGGGTCAAAGGGGAAAGTCTCTGGGGCGGGGGGGTGGGGGGGGCAGCCTCTGTGACAGCACTGGTGAGGAGGAGAACCAGAGAAATCACTATTCATAGCAGGGGAGTGCTTTGATTTGGCCACAAAGGCCACTAGTTCCCTGCGATGAAAGAAGCAGAAATCAGAGCTGCTTTAAAACATGAGAGGGTTCCAAACTGAATGGTTTAGCTAATTAAGAGCTCCACCTGCCGCCGAGCCCTGATTAGTCCATGATAGACAGTATTTGATTATCACAAGAGAAATGAAAAATCCTTACACACAAATATTTTTCTGCATATTCATTTCTTGACAATATTTTCAGTACTGTACATTAAAGGGGACTAGAACATTTTGCGTTTCATTTGTATAACGAAGGAAAAAAATCTACTTTCTTCTAAGGACAGATTTGATTATAGGTTCAATATTGCATTTTAATTTTCATCTTTTCTGGTTGAACTAGCAGTTAAATTCCACCCTCACAAATCTCAAGCAAAGGAACATGACGGAATAGACAATGATTTTGTCCACTGTATGTGTTTTTGTTTACTGTTTTCTTGTTAGTTTTTAAATGACCTAACAAGTTCAACTTTGTCTTAGCAAAGTGAGACAAATGCTTCTGGAGAGAAATCCATGTTAAGCACAGTTTTGAATTATATTGCTGCACACTTGAGTGCCAGGATTTTCACACATTATATCACCCTAACCCATGTAGTGATTTAGAGAAGCTACTCACCCAGGTAGGTAGACTAAATTAATACACTTGTTTGGGTCCATTCAGTAGCACCACTTAAACATGTCTCAAAACACTCTTTTGTATCGGTTCTGGGTCTAATAACACTTGTAGTTTCACAGTTGAGGATTCATTTCTTTAATTTGACACCAACATATTGCCACAAAAGTGCCTTTGTGGGCTGCTTAACTGCTTTGAAAAAAAGAAAGAAGGCTTTCACTGCCGTGCTGCTGCTGGTGCCTCGCTGCAGGCTGGTTGCTATCGGCGAGA